ATTTATATGAAAGTCGAAAACGCATATGTTATTCTATGTCTTTAAACGCGGATTTTACCAGGAAACATCAATTGTCTTTGTATGTTCAAAAAGGTAGGAATATCGATTGTTGTCATCTCCAGATCTGATCGCTAGAAAAAAGCGATGATAGAGTTGCAGTTGAATAACAACAATTGAAATCATCTACATAATCATTATAATAATCCTTTTTGTTTCATTAACTTGCAGTGTTCGAAATTAGCAGTAGTCCGATAGCCCCTGACTACTAAATTTCTCCTCGGACTACCAACTTTTCACAGTAACTAGCCCGACTAGGCTACTGTATTTTCAGAGGCAATATAAACAACTGTTTAGAACAAATTTATGAATCGTGCTAGTGAAATGTCTTTTGGGCTAGTGAATATTCCAATGTGGTAGTCCGACCAGCCTTGTCGATTAAAATCCTAATTTCTTACACTGATTAAGCTTTATTTTCAACAATTTTAAAAATGAAAAAAGCACCGAAAATAATTGTTATTGTTCTCTGACAATTGTGTCAATTATTGACAGTAGAAGTTTGTCCATCTTATTAAGGAAAGTTTACATGTTCCGTGAAATGCATCCTTAGAAAATTCTATTGTCAGTCTCTATATTGGATTAAAAGTTTTTATGTTCAATATTTATCTATTTTAAAATTGCTATAACCAATGTTCGTATTGTTTTTGCTTTTTTCTAATTTTTTTTTATTTGTTCTATTTATATATTTATTCCACTCAGCCATGCCGATATGAAACAAACTTCTTTGGCCATTATGATTCAGAGCAACAGATAAGCTTTCAAAATGAATTGGGTATTACACCATCATTTCATGTGGAATTGGGTATTTGCTCTGTTTAATTGGGTATTCTAAAACCAGTTTCACTACAATTTTAAGATCCATTGGGTATTCAATTATGAAGATACGAATTTCATGATTTCAATACCAATAAAGCATAAACTGTTGTAAAAAGAAGTTAATAGAGACCACTTACTTCATTTATAAATTTACTGAACTTTTCACAACTTTTTAAATATTTATATTAAAAATGCACATATATATCAAATCTATGTCAGACTTCAAATAAAACAAGTTTATAGTTGCAAAGGATTACATCGTAACATGTTGTTACTGGAAATCATTTATCCATTAGCTAATTGTTTCAAATCTTCTTGTTTTTTCTTTCGTCCCCTTTAGAACAATGCCATATTGCATTCAGAGCGTATTTCGATACAGATGAACCTACTATGGTTGCTTTCCTTAAGTCGTGGGTTTTCCTTGAGTTGTGGGTGGGTTAAAATCGTGAATGACTTTGAGTATGGTTAAAAATGTATTTGGGAAGTTAATATTTATTATAATTTGTTGTTAAAAAGTTGTTAATATTGTAATTATCAAATCATTTGGCCGTTTGTAGGGTTTGTTTACATTTTTTGACAACAACAACAACAACCTACTGGTTTCCGGTGTTTGGAACAGGTGCCACTTAATTTCACGCCAAAATTGGGCCCACAGAAAGTCTCACTGAACTATTAATTGAAATATAAACTAACACTGGGTCACCGGCGTCATATCTAATATTATCGATCCATAATCAAACTTCAATGAAATTTTGAAATCATTTCTTGTATCTCCGTCTTTTTGCAATTAGTTATGTTTGTTTATAAAGCGAAATTAAGGGATATTAAGTACTAGTAGGATACATTTGAAAACCACATTGCTTTATTTCAATATCATTTGCAATTGCTGCTACAATTTTGTTAATATATAAAAGATTTTGAAGGCAGAATGAAAGTTGCCCTGATGTTTAATTTTAGTTTGATTACAAACTTTTATAGATCTTATTGGGGACTTTTATGTACCGTATAAATTAATCAAATCTTGCTCTAAAACACTAAAGATAGAAGGCTCTAGTCATATAATGATGTTTAATAAATTGGTAAGGTAACTTGAAATAGTTCAGAGAGATAATGATTTCACCAATGTTTTCTTGCAATACTGTTGACATACATCCTAGCCACGACGCAAGGAAAAACAAATTGCATGTGAATGCAAAATGGTACCTATATACTATGAGTTAGATAATCGGAAATAAGTCTTTAGAGATGCAAAAAAAATCATGACAGTGCAGAATACAAATAGTTAAACATTTTCGGGTAATTTCCATGCTTGTTCCTGTGACGTCATCACACTTCACTGGTCTATTTTTAGAAATGCCCATGACTCTTGGTAAATAAAGCATTCTTGATGGTCTCTGCAAAATCAAGTCTCTGTTGGTCTGTAAAAACTGTCGCCCAGAGTAGATTATAAATTATCATACAAATTGACGGTCCTGTGCTTAATTGAAATGACTTTGGAGACTAGGGCAGAGCTCCAGATAGCGTGCGTATAAGCGTAAAATACGCATAGAAAATCTAAAATACGCATCACTTTCAAAATTTGTGCGTCAAAGTTACGCACAACAAAATGAAAATACGCTTGTATGTCAAAATTCAAGCGTAAAAGAATAGAAGTGTAAACATTTAATATTCATACAGAGGATGTCTTGAGCATAAAAATACAATATAATTGTGTCCATTTTATTGCATTGAAAACTAAAAGTTCTGTTGTCAACAACGCATGTTAATCAAAGGGCTGCAGCTCTATGGTATTTTCTGATCTTTGCAATCTAAATCATACTGACTATCTGTATGTACTTTCCTGTATAAGTTTATTTTTATATACTATAATTCATCTTACGCAGCGACATCGTTTTGATTTTCTTCTATAACAGTTTGAGATTGATACATATGGAATTTTGCATGAAAAAAAAATAGAATTGCTTCGACTAGGATTTGAACCATAGGCCTCTCACACCCTCAACGAGACCGCTTACCTCTGCACCACGGCGAAGTAATACATATGTACCTTGAATAAAAACGAATACATTATGTAATTCTAAATTGAGAATTTCCATTTCGTGTTTGCAATCCTTATTAATTTCGAGGTATTTTGTTCACGATAAACCTGTTGTTTAACACTGATGAAAACAATTTAGCGAAAATCTTCTCGCCAAAACAGTCCGACATGTATATATTCCATTACTCGACAGTCAGATTTATTTGTGTACGACGCTCTGGAGTATTCGGTAATCGACATAGCTAAAAATAGCATTTTCATTGATTAAAATGATATTCATTATTATCCGAAGCTTTATGGAAATAGCCGAACATTTTTCATTGGGTAAAAAAGATATTCATCCGCGAAATTTGTGATTGTAACCTCATATTTCTATTGACTAATCTAAACTTTTAATGCATTGTAATTCGTTTAATGCCTACATTAAAAATTATTCTTTCTTTTAAATTGCTGGTTTTTAAGCAGTTTTGAGTGAGAACTACTTTGCGTTGTTAGGACTGTGAGGAAATTTTGTGTTAGACCGTGGATGTTAGCTATGTATTTACTGATCTTACGATCAGAAAATACAAAAACGAAAGTAGCAGGAAGTACAGAAGGGAGGTAACTCCCGTAGATCAACCTGTGAAATTATTGATATAAAGTTTTGCCAGATAATCATCGTAGGAGTTAACATAGTATTAAGTTTGTTTAGGCATCTATTGACATGCTCATGTCTCAATATAAACAAAAATATATATTAATTTCTTTCACTTTTGTTGTTGGAACAAAATAACAAGTTTTTCACCTGCAGTTTTGTACTCAATATTTTCGTACCCAGTCTACAGTTTCGGACAATTTTCTCTCAGACCAATACCAAATTTTGAAAATGGAAGCCCTGATAATTTTACTGTGTATTCTAAACATGAGTTCCAGTATACTCTGGAAGTCTGACTTTACAGGGCACGTTTTGTATTGCTTCACATTGAATCAGTATTTTATTTTTTAAAGGTTTTTCTAAAAAAAGAAAAATAAACAAACACACAAAAACAATAAGTTTAATTTGTTTATAAAAAATGCAAAATGCTTTTTTGACAGATTTTACCCCTTAAGTTTTTCAGATTTTACATTTTACTTTACCCCTCACTCTAAATTTTGAGGGGTAAAAACCCCTTGGCCAAAAAAATTATCTGGAGCTCTGCTAGGGACCGTCGATTACTAGGTCCTGAATAACATTCAAAACTACGAGCGAAACGACAGGTAAATTTTTAGATGAAGACAATACGCATGGATCTTTGAGACAACTGCATATTTTTGTTTTTTAAATGGGTTTTGATACGCATTTAAAATAAATCGATTGCGTATTTTGTAAAATTAATTGCGCAAATACACACCTTATCTGTTGCTCTGTGATTATCTATTTATTTTATTTATTTACAAATGCAAGTTCTTGGTTAAAATCCTTGATTTAGAGACACAAAGTAAAATATATGCATTTTCGACTTTTATATATTTTTGAAAAGTGCCATACGACTAGACAATACAGTGTGTCCTGGCTAGCCGTATGTGACTCGTGTATGTTAGAACTTTTGGCTAGCCGTATGGGACCGTACAACTAGCAACTTCCAAGTTCCATATTTTATAGAAATTATATGAAAATATATGATATCAATGGTACATATTTACTTCAAAATATATATATTTGGTGAGTAACCTCCAAAAATGGTACATAACCTTCTGGTACGTTTCCTCCATGGCACGTAACCTCTAGTAATCCTTATGAGGATAGTAAACCTACCCCAAAGAGATGTCACATCAGGCACATGTCAAACTGTTTTCATAACACAGTGAGTCAGATTTCCATTAAAACAGTTATTGGTTGTTGAAATGCATTAGGGTATGTGAATGTAGGGCAAAGAGTGTCCTAACATAAACATTGTCAAAAATAAATAAAAAATATGTCATTAACCGAGTAAGCAACAAATCACAACAAACATGTCCAACATTTAACTGCAAAATATATTTGAAATAAAAACTGAAAATTTTCGATTTAAGAATAGAAAATTCAACTATTCGCTCATTTACAAAAAAATAGAATTATATATGCACTTACGCATGTAATATCTCTATAATTTTGATGCGCTATTCCAGAAAAAAAAGAAATTGAACTGGTAGCTGTGTAAAACGTCATCAAGTTTGCCGTAAAGTTAGTAAATACGATAATGAATAAAAACTACACGCAAGATATTATTATTACCAAAAAGTTGCCTCATTTTTTTTATCTCCCTTAATACCGACAAGAACCGTCAGAAACCGACAAGAACAAACAAGAAGTAAAAATGGAAATATACGAATTAATTTCACTTATTCATCAGTTACTAATCATTATTCCTAATATTTTTAACATAAAAACATAATAAATTCGTTCTGAACCATGTTCATTGGCAAATAATATCTATACCGACAAGAAGTCAGTCTCAGTTTCTCACCCTCAAAAACTCGACCATCTTTAATGATTATTTATATTATAATAAGAATTTTTATATAAGTGTTAAATCATAGTTTTGTTTATAAAAATATGTTGTATTATAAATAATAATTATTATATTAAATGTATTCTTATTCAATATTATGAATATTTTTATTAAAGGAGTGATTTTACCATTGTATAAGGGAGATGTCAATGACCCTGATAATTACAGGCGCATAACTATTTTAAGTTTATTTGGTAAACTCTTTACTACTTAAATTCCGGTTATTATTGAGAATCTAGTCATATCTTTTTTATTTTATTGGTACAATATAATTGCCACTCATTCTCCCGTTTTTTGTATATTTTTATGTATATTTTTCTGTGTTCCGGTTTAACATGTTCACAATTTTGTATTTTATGTCACATGATCCTATGAACCATGCCAGTATTGAATAAAATCTGGAATCTGAAAATCTTCTTTGCAATCTTTTTTAAATCAGATAATATAAATTGATTTCAAGTACACCAGAGTCTAGAGTATCCTGCACCATAATGAAGACGGCTCAATTTAGTATATTTCAGACCAGTGACATCTTAGATGGGTGGGTGTACATGTATATAAATTGTTATTAGCCTTAAATTTTCTTCAATGTATGTCGCATATCCTTGAATTATGTTGAGCAACTGATTAACTTCTTGTGTTTTGAAATACATATATTTGGAATTGTGTGTTTGGCTACACTGAACATAAAATTGCTCATCTATAGGACCCAGGGCTATGGAATGCCGGTCCAGACATGCCACTTACTTCTTGCCATTTGCTACTTGCCATTTGCTACTTGCCATTTGCTACATGCAGCTTACCACATTTCGACACCTCGGAAGTTGTACTATTAACAAGAAGGACTGTTTTTTATTCAATTATTATCATTATTATCACAATTATTGCCAACCAAAATTCCTTCTAAGGCAACTTTATTAACTTATAGATAAGGATTCTACATTGTAAGTAGAGGAGCGGGAAGCAGTTTTATCTTTAAAAATATCAATTGATAATAGCTTATTAGGATTTTCAGGCATAAATGTCATCATTCATTTCTAATATACATCAGAGCCTTTTAATTGAAAGACATTTGCATACATACCGACTTGCGAAAGATTAATTATTGTACCAAGATGGCGCAGCCCATAAATCAAATGGCAAGGTCCATTTATTCTGAATGCTTTGGAAAAATCACATGCTTTGGCATTACAATACCATTACTAAAATTACGAGAATAGAATGCCGGTCATAACATGCCACTTGCGATTTGCTACCTGCTACCTGATACATGCAGTACTTCTCAAGGTATTAGTACATTTCGACTTTTAAAATACGGAACAATTCGATCCCTTGACATTTTTACATGTTTAATCTGTTATACTGTTTCTTTAATAATTTTAATTCTCGATTTCTTTTCTTTCTTTTTTTGTTCTTCTAAATTTTATCACATATTTTGTCATTATTATCCAATGAATAAAGTGACGCGACATCTAATTCCTGCTGGGTGCCTTCTCGATGATCCTGTTTGATTCTGGATCTGTTGAAGTTGGGGATGGGATGTGGCTCGGGGACTGCATTTAGTGAATGTCGCATCGCATTACCTTGTTGATCTTCCTTTCTCATTTCTTATTCCGTTCTTTGAATATTGATTTTGTTATTTAACATAAATACATTTCAAACTCTATGACTTAAGTAATTGGTAAAATTGATCTTGATTGTTGGCTGATTGATGCATTGAAAATAATACTGGACTATTAGTTTCAAATATAAACAGCAGCGACAACAACAACAACAACAACAACAACATTTATTTTACAAATAATCATAGCAATACTTTTAATCATAATATACAATTGACATGAAGTGAAAAATGATAAGAAATATCATTAACCATCAAATATTTTTTGCAAAATAGATAAAATGTTTTTTACTTCAGTAATGCAAATATAATTAATATCAAAGGAAGTCAGATCTAAAAACAGTGGTTAATTTGAAAGAGAAAAGACACTTTTTTGTTATGTTATGTTGTGCTGATATAGTGGTTAAAAGTCAAATCACGATGTAAAGCATTGGAAGTCCAAAAAGCTTTTCTTGTTGGACTTCCAATGCTTTCATTAGTTTTCAAGTAAACATCCGCCATTGTTGTCATAATTTTTGGTGTATGACACAAAAGAAATCTAGGTTGTTAGATGAAATATTAAATGTTGGATATGTATAATTGTTGTTTCAGAGATACATGTAGAGGATTTTAACCAGTGCTAATTCACGTGAGAGACGTTACACCTTCATTAACACATCATGAACTGATACAATGTAACTGAAGCCTTTATTTTCACTTTCTTCAATTAACAGAACTGACTCAATACAACTGAATATCTGGAAAAAAGTGATCCCTCGGTAGCATTAATAACAACAAAAATTACACAAAATTGCAGCGACTCGTTTTTGATTGAGTCTCACACATGAGGGATAATGAAAAAGTGTAACATCCCCTCGCCCCAGCACGGGCTTGAGTGGTAATCAATTTTCAACGCTTAAAAGTGCTGGAATCAACGATCAACGATCCTGAAGGACCAGAAATATATAACAATACTGACGTGAAGAAAGGTGTCAAAACTGTTTTTTACGTTTTATTTTGGTCTCATTGCTGCCTTATTAAATGCTTATTATATGTATAGACAGACACATGATATATCAATAAATACATATATCAATATTCTTAAGTTTTCAATAATGCAAAATGTTTTCTTGGGCTCATTTTTTTTTCGGATTCAGGAAGATTAAAACTTTTCTTTCTAAATCTTTTCGACCAGTGCGGAGTTTTATATTTTACAAATGACACTGAAATGACACTATTTAAAGCTATTTTGTTTAAGGCTATCGATATCAAGTCTTTATCAATGTCGATTCATGAACAATAAAAGCAATACATCTTTTGATTTTCACCATGTGAAATACGGATTGGATAGATAATGATATAATTCTTCCGGGTTCAAACAATTTATATACAGATTACCTTAGTACTGATCAATAGTTTAAATTGATATATACTTTGCCACACGATAGAGTTACTTTCTATTTAGTTAATGATAACCGTGATTTAAGTTTTTGGATTTACGCTATTTGTGTGTTTTAATTGTAAGTATTAACATTTGTTTGTAGATAAATAGAGCGGTTTTGTAACCTCCCAGTTTGATCATTTGTAAATTTATATATTAAATGTGTTTTTTTGTGTAATTGTTGTCAAAAAATGTCAGTTAAACATGTTTTTTGTGTGTGTGTAAAATAGTTGTTTATAATGTCAGTTATAAATTTTTAATGATTGCCCCTTTTCATTCAACATAACATGTTTGTTTATTTTTTCCTCATGCCGAACGAGTTCGATCAAGATTGATTTTCCCTGTTCTTGACAATAAATTTATAAATGTAATGAATATTACATTTTAAATCAATGTGTATTGTTTTAAAATAACCGTTTACACACGAGTTAATTGTACTTGTTATTTGTATCTATTGCAGGCATAATCAATGCACGTTTAAAAAAAACCACCCAGGGTTAAGTGCAGACTTAATCATACCAGTCGTTTCAAAATACACAGTTTTTTTTTTATTCAATTAGTCAAAATTATAAGTCATTTTAAAATTTAAAATGTTTATCACTTGAAAAAAATATGTACCCGAGGGGTTCCGTATATATATTTGTGTCGTCATATTTTTGACTGGTCCTTATATCAAAAATACTGTTTGCACAAACAATATGTCATGTATTTGAAATCTTGCATTTGTTCTGTTCTCTCATTGGTATATGTATTGATTTGAGATAAATAAAGTACTGTTCTGTTCTACAAAACACTATAAATTTGCTGATAGATAGAAAACGATATTGGTGATTTATTATGACACTTAAATTGATGTTGTTAATTGATGGAATTATAGTAGTAAATTTAAAATATATGCAATGTATTTCAAGTATGAATATCCAACATGTTTTAAAGTGTATAAAGCTAAATATGTGCGGTCTGTTATTAAAAAAATTATTGTTTAGATTTTTGAAAAGAACAATTCAAAAATAAATGTATGAAAGAAATATGTTCGTATATATCCGTTATTCCAAACATTCAAAATTGGGAGATACCCGGTATTAGAAAAAAAGTAGTTTGATCATTTATGTATATCTCCATATTCATGTCACTATATAATCTGTTTCTGTATTGATACACTATCCTATCTGAAATAAAATCAAATGATCTGCTACAGATTGTATCATGGTATAATTTTATCAGTATAATTTATGTATTGATAAATTAGATAAATGGATTTTAATCAATACATGTCTCGATAAATGCACCTTAAATGAGTATATACTTTATAAAATGTTCTTCATCTTGTGTTGATATGTGTTCATAAAATCATAAAATTAGTAAAATCATAAAATGTAATGCATTTTGTATTTCAACAGCTGACATATCATTTAGCCGTTGTACATGTGACATAAAGCAATAAAGTAATGCTGTTCCATTAGGAAGTGAAAAGTTAAGTCAGAAAGCTTTTGAAATAATTGTGATAAAATCTCTTTATTTTTAGTGAGAATGATATGCAAATATCAGCAGTACCTATTAATAAAACACAGTTATAATCAATAGAGTTATAGAGGAGCCAGGGTTTAACATTACAATGGTGCGTCTTCATTTATAACTACGATATTTGCATGCTAGTTTCTGTCTTTTGGATTGCTTCTTGCTACCTCAATAAAAGAAACAAAGAACTGATGCACCCAAACACAATAAAAGAACAACAACACCAACAACAAAAACAAACAAAACACCATAAAACATGAAAAAGAAAAGAAAAACAAAAAATGACACAACACCCCAAAAAACAAAAAACAAAAAAATTTAAAAAAAACACAAAAAACAACACAAAAACAATAAACAAACAAAAAACACCATAAAACATGAAAATGAAATGAAAACTAAACAAAAACCAAAACGACATAAACCAAGAAACAACAGACACTAGTGTCACAAGTATTGTATTTTCTTATGAGAAATAACAATTGACAGATCTAGCTTTGCTAGAAAATGAAAAGTAATGGAATGTTATAAACCCATATAATATACTATGAAAAGTAAAATTAAAATACGTGAAAGGACTATGTACTAAATGTAATATATTAAACGTTTAAAGGCCCATTATGCCTCATGAATATTTTTTATTTGTATGTCTCAAAAAACCTTTTATTTTTGGTGTCTTGTTACAGATTCATTGGTTTGTTGCAAATTGGTATAATTATAGTGTATGGAAGTCAAAATACTACTTTGTTTACATTTTGCTACCTTTATAACACATTTAGTACTACACATTCAGCGCTACTTTTTTCTGTTCTTCTGTTGTTAAAAAATCTAACATGCTCTAAATCCATTAATAAAACATTATTAAACACATGCTTGGCATTTCTTAAGAATATAATAAATATGGACTTCTGAGGCACAATAAGTAATTGACGTTGCTACTGCAGAATACAGAATATAAACAAACTCTAGTCGCTATGGGTAAATGACGTATCAAAATTCATATACTTTGTTTGGCTTAAATTTGATTGTGTTATTCATCGTTCATCGATTATTTAATGTGAAATAAAAAGAATCAAATTATATTTAAATTGCGTACGACCATACATTCTTATGCAAAATAATTTTGAGATTAAATAAAACATATCCTGTTTCATTTGCGCACAACAAAACTAAAAATACTAAAATAACACAGTATAAATAATTTGACATTTAAGATAGTAGTTTATTAAAGTACAGACACTTGGGGTGTAAAATTTCTAAACGCCTTAAAATCCTGACATATTGTATATTTATTAATCCAAACACATGCACTTATCATATATAACATACGCAGTTTTGGAAAAAAATAGTCTTTATTTTTATTTTAAATATTCATACATGATTTTTATCAATTATTTAAAAACTTTATATATGAGTTATATGAGTTATATACACCACTCATACATGATTTGTATCAGTCATTTACATCTTTCATATATGATTTTTTATCAAACATGTATATACAATTCATGTATAATTTATATTAGTTATGTTTATCATTCTATTTTATTATGTATACCAAATTTATTTTTCTTAGATAGATGAAACATTCCGATAGATGTAAACTTATTAATTTCCGATTAAAAAAAAACAATCTGTCAATATTATAGAATTTGTTTTTGGAAAAAGAAAGAAAGTGTCCGTTTTACAACGTTTTACTGTATTCGTTTTATATTCGTTTCATAAAGGTTATACCTGTATATAAATGCTAGAACATAACATCCGCTTATTTGTACGCATTTCTTTAATCAGTCTGTTTTTTGTGCTATTGTGTTATAGATATAATAATGTTTTGTATAATTGATACATACTTGCAGTATAACGTAGAAAAAGCTTATTACTTTGCGCAGGAAAAGTAAACGCCTATCTTACAACTTGTACTTTGTACTTTATAATTGCATCGATGTAGGCGTATTATGAAACATGTTCATTGCACACCGTTTTCTTGCTTTTTTTCAGATGAGATGAACTTAGCAGTGATGTAAATTAACATATTTTCCTCAAAGCTTGGACAAAAGTTACGTTTCTATTTTAACAATTTGGACTTATTAAAAGAGTGGTTAACTTAAACGTTCTGTATGTAATTTGTCAAGTAAGATTTTCTGTTATTTGATTTGTTTTTATTTGTTTGCCTTTTTGTAATGTCCATTTTAATTGATTCAGTTTTTGTTTTTGTTTCGGTACCGGATAAGGATAGCCAGACAACCTTGGTAATATAAATATTACATTTTAGGCGGCGCAAGCTACGCCATTGTTTATTTCAACAAAAATGTTACTGTTAAATCTGACAATGCACGAAACAATAAATTTTCAATGTTACACGTTAATGCCATTCAATGAAAAGCGGCATATGATCCCCAAATAACAAAAAATGCGTGTGCTCTTAACGAGAAAACAATGAGCAAAACTAAATGACATGGGATTTTGAAAGGGGATCAGAGGTAATGAAGCCTACATATCATAGATAAGACGCCGTCAAGAGACATATTTAAAAAGCAGGCACCATATCTTTATGATGATTAAACAGTATTTAAGTAGGAATACCGGAGCAACACAAGTTGAAAAAGATAGAGAAAAACGGAATCCCTTAAGAACGCTCAAAACGACAAAATTTAAAATGATTCAAACCCGGTTTAGTAATGGAAAGTGCAAGTTACTGTCAACTCTCACTTATTAATTAACGCCTTTAAAGCAGCACGCCCCCCCCCCCCCAGATTTATGCTAATTTTCATGAACATTTTGAAAATGTATCTGAATGTTTATATTGTGAAGTAACCAAAAGGAAGCAATTCACACATTTTCAATGACTCATACAAACCACTGAAATTACCAAAAAGTGGTCAAAATATGCATAAAAAGCATTTACTGCGTTAGTAGAAATATGGTTGTAAATACATTGTACTGGAAAATCCGTCATTAATCGCACAGAACATGTAAAAAAATACTTGAATCTTTTTACCTTCCGAAAATTTTAGAGCATTTTTCTTAAATTTGATTTTATTGAAATATTTTGACTCAACTGGAGGCATGTTAATGCAATATTATGCACGGAATAGCCGTCAGTGAAAGTCTTATGTTTTGTCTTGTCTTTTCATTTTATAGTATGAAAATAACCCAGACGACGGGTTGTATACATAACGGATGGTCGAAAACTATTTATCTTTTATAATATGGCATATATAAACGCACACCCTGTTATTAAAATAGAAAACATTATAGATCAATATATAGCTTTATAAAGACGACAGCAGTTGAGTTGCTAGGTTGCCCTTTACAATTGAAGATATGTTCATCTTTTTAAAACTTTTAGGTCGCTCACGAAAGAGTTATGCACAAAACCACAGCGTTTCATAATGGATAATGGACATTTGTTCTAAACAAAAACCTGTGCAATGTTAGCTGTTGGTAAGATAATTTCGTTTTATTTCTAATTAATTTATTAGGTGTCTGGAGATTATGCACGTCCTTTTTTCCTATGCTGAAAAATGTGCTTGCTATGGCAACAAAAAGACTTAAAATATAGTATAAATAACAATATTTGTGATAACTAAAACAATAATGAGACTATTTTGTGAAACTTGAGATATGGAAAGATTGCAGTATGGAGATTTTGCACATCATTTTAAGCTCGACTATAGGAAGATTATTGAAAACTGTGCTACTTACCCCGCCCAGATTTCTGATAAAAGTTTTTACACAGTAAAATATTTTACACGATAACTTCTTTATTTCTTACGGTATTTACTTCAAACTTAAAATATATGTTTCTTATCATCACCTACATTACATGTAGCAAAGTGCATCATTTTAGCTCTATAGTTTTAGAATTATCATCCTTGAACTTACAATTTTCATGAAAAAACTTCTTTCTTTCTTAAGGTATATCTACTTCAAATGTCAAGTATGTGTTCCTTTTTATCAGTCAAATCAATAAAATCATGTGTGAGAGAATACAATACTATAGCATGGCTGTTTTCAGAATTATGTCTCCCTTGAACTTAGATATTTTTCTAGATTTATCTTATTGAAACTTCCTCATTTCTTAAATGATTTACCATGTTTACTTAAACCTTGGAAGTTGCTTGAATCAGAGCGGGTTTCAGTTGCAAGCTATTTCGTTTTCTGGCGTTATTTGGTCTACGTCATGATTAATAGGTCAGGTTTACATCAACCGGGGGTACAGACAGCAAAATCCTACCTTAATATGTTTATATGTTTATTATTTATGGCGTTAATCTTGCCCTTTTCTTCAATTGTCAATTCTGGCACCAGTTCCAAGTCGAAAAAAAGGACTACAGTTTAAAGCAGATTTTAGAATCCGTTGCAAATGCAAAGCAACATGCCTACCATTCTCTTTCTTTAAATATGTTAACCATGAAAAACATTATATTTACTAACGTTTATACGATTTACATAAACACAAATGAATATTTAAATGATTTTTACTCGCTCCGCTATAAGTGATTTTAAAAGTCGTAAAATTGTTGTCTGTATTTGTAAAGAAATTGATTTGCTCTTTAATCTTTGTTCTTTCACGGTAATGATTATTAAAAATCTATTAGTGTCATGTAGCAATACTAAACATGGAAAATTCAAAATAGAGAGAAAACAGAAACCCTAAATATCGCCCAAAACGGCAATATTGAAAATGTTGCAGGCTCAGTTTGATGACTTAAGTAGCCTGTTCAATGAACGTGCACATTCAGGATCACTTCCATTTGTATGCTGTGAAAAGGGTTACGCTTCAACGCGGCATTTTTTTTAAGTCAAAGGTTATTCTTTTGTAAAGAGTTATTTATACGTATAACCATATATATATATAATTGGTAAAGAACCTGTAGCAATGTTTTAGTATGATAGATTTAGCTTTTTAACACAGTGGCACTCGTTGATAAAAAAAAATTTACTTCCTGTTTTCATTCCCACGGTAATCGTTTTTCGTGAACTGAATATAACTTCGTTCATTTAAGAACACTAAACACTATTTGTTTTATTATTGCATTTATTTCTGTTGATAAACTGCATACCTGACAATTTAGTTAATTGTATCAGTCAACCCAGCTTTATCAGAGTGCTCACCAATACAATACGGAATATTTATGGTTTGAAAAAATTTAAATCAAGTAGGATTTTTTAACAATAATGTCTCTTTCAACTGAATAAAAACGATAGGGCTATTTGGGACTATTTTTTATCGATGTGGTCATTGGCTGTAAATGCATGGATCATTGCACGCGGCATGACCTGCAGATGTCCTCAACAGGATTTTTGTAGCATTTTAAGATTTAAAAAAGGACTACATATTAATATCTAAAACATGATAAACATAATGCATATGCCAAAATAAGTGAATGATCTGATATGTAAATAAAGAAGTAAGTCATTTGACAGTTGAAGGGTAAAAATTGAATATACTCTTCAAATGTAATCGTAATTTTTCTTATGTTAGCTATCAATTATTCAATGGACGCATCAGTGTCATATGGACCCCAGTCATAGATCTTGCCGGTGTTGTTATTACAACTATTACTTTTGAATGTAAATATTTATATAATTATTGATAATCATTGTTATTTCCGTCTTTTTGAATGTTTTGCTTCAAGACTATGATCGATGGCTGTTGGTTTGTAAAATCATTTATCTTTTTACTATTTTATAGGGTTAACGCACGTTTTTCCGTGTTATAACGTCTGCAGAGTCCCGAGGAACGGTTGGTGCCCGAGGGCGAGGGCTCCAACAGTTCCGAGGGACTCTGCAGACTTTATAACACGAAATAAACGTGAGTTGACGCTATTATAGCACAAAATTTTCAAACAGATTCGTGATGTATAGTTTATACAAAACACAATTACATTAAATTCTTGTGCTTGGACGGTATTTATCCAATTTTATGTTTTACGTATGCGTTTCATTTTTCCGGGGCCAACAACTTGGAAAATTCTCGGAACCGAACGAAATTTTGAATTTTAATTGATTTAACAAAGCTTGGCCTTTGGAGATTTATTATCTCAAGGAAAAAAACGTAACATTACTCTACCCTCTACCCAAGACAAAACATGACCCTCAGAAATTCTTAGAATGATTTCAGATTGATGAGTGACATCAGAATCGGTTTTTTTTCCAAGCAAACAAGTTTATAAAAAAATCAGGCACTAAGCATTATTCTCTCAAAGAAATATAAAGAGCATTTATCAACATTAACATAAATAAAAAATTTTTTCTAATATTAATTTTGTGTTATCTAGTTTTGTAAGTTAATCGGAGTGTTAAACTGAATGACAGGTAGATTCTACTGTATATGTTTACATTGACAACTGTCCGTTTCTTAGAAAGGGCGACAACCAAGATTATCTATACGCCGTTTTTCCGGCATAGTTACCTGAATATGCGACTGAGGCCCTCGAATCAATAAATTTCAATACATGTATAACAAGAGCGCATGACTCTTTGGCAAACAGGCCAAATCGTCATTTTTTGTTTGTTTGTTTACTGGGCCCTGTATGTATTGCGCATAGGTGAAACCGGGCTATAACAAGAGCGCGTGACTATGTTAACACATGGTTTTGGTCCCGTTATAACATGGGCAAAAGAGGGAAAAATAGCCGATTTTATGCTATAATCTACTTTGTTTACTCCACATGGCGTCCATTCTCGTTCTTTATTGGCGACTCATGGCTATTTTGGACCTTTTTGATAAATAGAGAATCATAAGTAATGCAACTAAGTAACAATACTATCAAGTTTACACGGCAAAGTTCCAAGTTATATTTAATGATATTTAAAATTGTTCTACACAAAGAACAAAATCTGACTGATGATGAAAGTGCTTATAGTTTAATAAGCATAAAATGTCAACGTCATGTTAATGCGGGTGACAATTAGATTCATGATTTTAATACCGATACATGTGCATAGTACTTCAAATTGAAGGGGTCAGTGCAACAAGGTACCTAACTACAATTTTGGGTGAAATTGAGTTAGGACCTTTGTGATTTAAAGAACGTTATTATTAGAATAACCTCCCTTTGTTACCCATTTCTTTGTTTTTAAGGTGAAAATGGTTCTCAGAGGAACTTAACAAAGGTCCTAACTCCAGAGGTGGTGTTGGTACCTTTGTTACATTAAACCTATCCATTTTTTTCTTGTTTTGAGGCGAAAAATACATATGAAAATATGATTATATTTTGATTTTATGTCAAAATGTGCATGGAAATTTAAAACAACAATGTTTTCTTCTATGTTTTGTCAAATTAATTTGCAGAAATGTTCATTTGTGTGAAAATTATAACAAATTTTATTATGTGAATTTTGTGTTCATGGAGATAGAACCTTTTTTGCACATATACCATATCATCCCTTTTTAAAATTTTGCATGAAGACATTTAAGTCTTAAAGATATTGTTTAGAGATTTTCTATACATGTATATCACCATAAAATTTATTGTTTAAGAGGAAATGTTTAAAATTTAAGCATTTAGGATGCTTTAGGTAGTTAATGTTAATTGTATAAATATTTTACATTTTAGCGACAAAGGCATGTTCTGGTAGCTTTTGTTTCATTTTTCGAGACCATATTCTGAGATATTGAAACTATACAGCTAAAGCTGGTGTTTTTTTTATAATATTTGTAACTTAGGTTATTTAAATGTAGTCGGCTAGTGAAAATACGTTTGTTACAGTTCCTTAACACAATATTTTTGAAATACATGTAATTATATTCTGAATTATTGAAAACAAAACTTTTATTCGTAAGATAGGTTCTTTTATATTTGAACTGGCTTAAATGTTAAAGTTTTGTTTCTTTCTTCTATGGAGAATATATGTTTAAAACTCATTTGTTTTTGTTTCCTGTAGTCAGTCAATAAATCAATTAGTTAATGAATCAATCAAATATTCATCAATTTATCAACTAAAGGATGTGTAACAAATACAAACTATACAATTGGTGATTTGTTTGATACGCCTAAAGTTTTTTAAGCTTAATATTAATGTGCAAATACATTAGGGGTTATATGATAACCTTTTAGTTGATTGAAAAGTTGAAAGATATGTAAATTTTAAGCTCAAATACTTTATGCAATTGTTTTAAAAGTTACAAAGGTCCTAACTCCATAGGATTTAGAACCGTTTTTGCATAAGCACATTTGATAAAAATAACTTTTCTTTCAATAAAATGGTTAAAATGGTGTAAAACATACAACTTTGGTTTCAAATGTTCTTTTTATTAATAACATTACTTATAAGTGAATTAATTTTAAAATATTTCAATTAAAACTAAAATTTCAGAAAATGACCTTTTTCTCAATTTAATGTTAAAAAACGTTAGGTACCATCTTGCACTGACCCCTTCTATTGTAATTTCGTTCATCAAACTCTATAAAAATCTATTATACGGCAATTCCAGAAAAAATATAAACCTTTTAAAAGTAATTCTTTTGAGGACAGAATAACCTATTCGTTACATTCAAGAGTGTCAGTGTTTGTCAGTTACTCTTTACAAAAAATAGACTGAAAAAAATTAATTACCTTAAGCTTTACACCACTCGCGTTAAAGTGTAACCCTTTCCGTAGCATACAAAGGTTGTTTTTTTTATTTTAACTCTTTCTCTCACTGAGATCGCATATATTTCTTATCAATTTCGCCATTTTGAAATAGAATAAAACACATTTTACTACATAGGATAAGATGAGCAACACTTTAACCATCTTCAAAACGAAACCAAAATATTATTTTTCGACTAAATCTACGTGATTTGACGTGCAGTAAGTGTTATTACTTTAAGGAACAATCAGTTTTTTCACAATCTCTCTGTGAAAGATCAACAATGAAAAACTAAATTGTAGAAAGGGAACGGTAGGCATGTTGCTTTGCATTTGCAACGGATTCTAAAATCTGCTTTAAACTTTAGTCCTTTTTTTCGACTTGAAACTGGTGCCAGAATTGACAATTGAAGAAAAATGTAAGATTTATGTCATTCATAATAAAAATATGAACATTTTAGGTACAGTTTTGCCTTCCGTACTCCCGGTTGATGTAAACCTGACTTTTTAATCATGGCGTAGACCAGATAACGCCAGAAAACGAAATAGCTTGCAACTGAAGCCCGCTCTAATACAAGCAACTTCCAAGGTTATGCAAAGTGTTTGATAAAACGGCTTACAAACTGACGAAGATCCAATATTCTGTGGAAAGCTTATATTTTTCCCCGTAGACTGGTGCATATCCCAAAGAAATTGGTACAGAAACAAAATATTTACGGCTATTTTCTTTTCCGAATCGAGCAATATTTGTCTTGGAAATGATGCCGAAAATGACATCATAGTCACGTGGTATTGCTACACTGTTAAAACTCCCTCATCATATGACAAGGTTTATAGATTAAGCGTTCATATTTCCAGAATTACCCCACCCACTTAAAATTTAAATTTTCTTATTTATTCTATAACTTTCTTATTTCTTCATTGAAATACTTCAAAATTCAAATACATGTATATGTTCATTATCAACACCTACATCATATGTGATTATTTTAATAAGTCTAGCGCCTGGGTGTTCATAACTTTTTATTTTATTTTGAACTGTGAAAATTGTTATATTCTTAAGATTTGTTTTCTTTATTACTGTAAATGGTATATTTTTGAAAATTGTTTTTTTTTACTTCCCTTCTTTGTAACTAAAAATGGTGTCTCCTTTAGACTTAAAATTATTGTATGTTCATAAGTCAAGCTTCTTTATTAGTTAAAGAGTTATTATCTTCTTTAGTTTAAGAATTTTGCTTTAAAAATGTTATACTTTAGTTTCAACCAAGGATATTAAGAATTTACCTTCTGTCTGTCATTTGTCTGTCCTAAAAACTTTTTCCTGAGATCACGTTAAAAGAACTTGGAACTCTTCCAATTTTTTTCTTAAAATAGAGAAAAGTTGAAAATACTTATTCATCCTGAGAAAACTGGATCTGTTGATTATCTGTTACATTAACATAATTTCTTATTAGGCAGGAAAACTTAACACATTACTATGATACAGACAAACTAGAAACTCAAATGATTTAAGTTCATTAATGTCTTCCACAATTGCATTATTAAATGGCCATTGTCCTTCAGAATGTTGCTGGGGTTCAAACCGGTAGGGGACTTTTGTATTGCTTGTAATAATATGATAGTTGTTTGTTATTTTTTTTTATTCTTATGGATTCGACATTGATATATTGATAAATTTATATGCTCTACCTTTTTCACCATACCATAAACCGATAACTTTTATGAATGTCAAAAGAAATTTATATATTAAAACTTTTCATGAATTCCAAATGAGATACATTTAATCGATATATTTTAATGAATATCATATAATAAATACATTCTGTTATTATCGTATAGAAATACAAGAAAAATGAATATCATATAGCAATATTGTTATAAGACAAAAAATATCAGCGATACCATTAATCGGTACCATTAATGAAAATTCTATAGCAATACTTTCTCTTTACGAGTTAAACATATTGCGATACTTTCAATCCGTAACTTACATAAATATCAACTAATGTTATATTCAACGAATATCATAAGCGATACCCTCACTTTATGAGTTAAACATATTGCGATACTTTGAATCCGTAACTTACACAATCTCATTAAAATCAGATCATCGTTTTTGCTCCGTTACTCTCCGCTACGAAGATCTGAGTACATTGCGTATCAGGTCGCCTCAAGTTGACCTTTACACCATGAATATTAATGAGCAAACGTAATTTTCGTTGTCCAATCAGAATCTTCGTTTCAAACCAAGTTCGTTTAATCAATCAAAATGGCGTCGTCTTCATCTTTTGACAATTTAATTTCAAAAACGATTGAAATATTCAACATAAAAGAATTATTTCCAAGAATGACATCCCACAGAAACAGCAACGGTCAACCAAGGAATGGATTTTTTTGGGTGTTTTTGACACCGTATCGCCTATGCTTGTGGAGGCTGCCATCTTTAAATCGGATTCGGATTACTTTTGTGATAACCGTTTACATTGAAATTTCCGATGGTGACCGTTTTATGACGGAAATTCACGGACTTACATCTTAGCATTTTGAAGCCAATGATTTGATTGGCTAATCAAAAGGTCAAATTGAGGCGACCCCGAATGCGATGTACTCAGATCCTACGAGCGTAGGGTAGTGAAGCGACAGTTAGGATATGATTTTAATGAGATTGTAACTTACATAAACGTCATATAATGTTATATTCAACGAATATCATATAGCGATACCCTCACTTTACGAGTTAAACATATTGCGATTCCTTCAATCGATAAGTTTAATAAATATGTTTAATAAATATCATATAATGTTTTATTATATAATCTATAAATAGCTTTGAAATGCATTTCCCTGATTGGCTAACAAGCAACTTTTTGTAAAAAATAACAGGTCAATATCAGAGTATATTCACTGTTTTTTTCCCCTAAAAATAGATTTTCAGAGTATATTCACCGGTTTTTCTTCTAAAAATAGATTTTTTGGAAATTCCATGAAAGACACAAGGCACGCCAAGTTTGTTGTTATATATTATTCTGATAAAAAAATGGATGACTCTTAGATAAGAGTCAAATTAGTGTATTTTAGTAACCGTCTTTACATTTTAAAGAACACTATAAGAATAAGCTTGCTAATGCGCTCATGAAAAAGATGTTTTATGGAAAAATAAGACAAGCTTCCGACGTAGGCAATGGCAGATCTAATAAGCCATATAAAAGCTATTTATTAATTATATAATAAAACAGATATGTACTTTTTAGCTGGTGAATATGATGTGATATGTACTAAAAAATTTATATTTACCTCGGCTATCGCCTCGGTCAATATTATTTTTTTCAGTACATATCACATCATATTCACCAGCTAAAAAGTCCATATTTGTATAATATTCAATATCATATAATGTTATATTCAGAATATCATATAGCGATACTAGCTTTCACTTTACGAGTTAGCTTCAATCCATTACATGTACTTTAATAAATATCCATATAATGTTATATTCAATGAATATCATATAGCGATACATGACTTTATTACAGCAATATTTCAAATGAATATCATAAGCAATCCCTTCAGATGAATTTCCTGGACCGATAATTCAACAAAAATATGTACATGTATATATCTGCTTTTTAATTTCAGAAAATACATTAGCTATCTTCATTTTGTTGATACATATTCTTCATAAAGGTATGTAGATAGTTTCTATCATGGCGTTTTTGTTTCGCATATTTATATCATTTCGCATATTTATTTTATTTCGTTTTTTTTTCATTTCACATGTTTATTTCATTTTTTTAAAAATGTTTTGTATCGGAACATTTAATTTCACAAGATATGCACATTCAATAGACCTCGTAAATGACTTTCTATAAAACATACCGAAAATGAACAATATTACCAAAACAGTCAGTAGCAGCTGAAAATAGCGATTTTTTCGGCCGTTTATAATATACATGCTTACATTTCTTAAGTTCAGATGCTAACTAACTACTGCAACGTGAAACATTTTTCATTGTTGACTCGTTTTTCAATAAGAATAATTATTCAGGAAAAAAGGAGTGGGCAAATGATCTGAAATTCTGCACACAAGTTAGTGGTCTAGACCTGCATCAAATTGAACATTTATCTTAAGTCCAGTCATGTAATAAAATCCTTTAAAACCCTTTCCTTTCAGCTTGTTCACATACACTGAATTTCTTAATTAAAAATGTTAAGTTCGATCATACGTTATTGAAAACTAAATGAACTAGATTGTCACGGTATATATTTATTTTAAAAGTTTCTAATACGGTACTTGGCGACGGAGTGTTCATTTTTATTTACTATCGTTTACATATACATTTTTCTATGATTGTTTAAAGTCATTTTTTTGTAAGTCTAATGAAACTTGTTTTTTTTTGTCTTCCAAGTTGAATCAACAGGTGATCCCCCTCAGTTTATCAACCCGTCAGGTGCCACCTCAGAAACAGTTACCGAAGACGCGGACACTAGCACTTACATCTTCATTGTCGTGGCAATTGATAATGAGGGAAATGCTCTTACTTATTCTGTAGTATGTTTTACTAGTACTTTAAAGTAGCACCACTAATGTTTTAATGTTTATTTTATCAGTTCAAATATCACACCATTTTTTCTAGAGATTTTTTTTGTAAAATGTACAAATAAACTTATTTAAGTATGCACTTGATTAATATTTGGGACAATTACATATGATTTGCCAAACTATGTACATGCAGAAATAGCCATCGCATAATAAGTAACGGGGTAGATTGCTTTCAATGTAATGTTATATAAATATGGACTTTTTAGATGGTGAATATAATGTCATATGTACTGAAAAAATAATATTGACTGAGGCGATCACAGCTAAAAAATACATATCTGTTTTATTATATAATTATTATTAGTTTTTTATGTGCTATCAAATCTGCCATTTAATACGGCGGAAATCGACATTTCTTTATAATAAGGCCCAAAAACACATGTATTTTAAAAGGACGCGAGGGAACGTTAAATTCGAAATGTTCTTAAAAATATTAAGACAACAACTTAAATAGAGTAATTTGACTTAATATATTTGAGAGTCATCCAACGTTTTGTTTTTTAGAACAATAACTGAGCGTGACGTCTCGTCATATCCCCGCACCCTTTGGAGGATTTCCAAATAAAAACGGTGAATAAACTCTGGAAATCTATTTTTAGAAAAAAAAACAGTGAATTTATTGATTACATAATAATTAAAATTTCAGCACAGTCAAACACCCAGTAGCCCTAGTTTCACCTTTGACCCTGCATCACGGAAACTTTACCCACCAGCAGGTCTTGACGCCGAGACGACAACGTCCTTTGCTATAGTATTCAGGTATCATATGCATTTCCTGTATGAATTTGTAAAATTGAGATTGCAGTAAAATAACTTAAAGGTTTATTTATAAATTTATGCACGCATTTATTTCAATTGCCGGTATATATGTGATTTCAACTTGAAAAAGAGCAATAAGGAACGCATTTAGTCATAACCGGGTAAAGTTACTGCTTTTCTCTACCTTCCTTCTTGATTAATCTGTCTGCCATTTGGATTACCAATTCATAACATGAAACAAATATAGATTTCTATATATATAAAATAACTGACTAAATATTATCGAAATTCCGTTTGATTTCAACCTCTAATAATATTCGATTTGTAACAGATAAGGACTAAAAAAAGATGACGCATGCTTTGTAAAATGTGATTTAACAGAACCATGCACAAATCGCGAATGATTTTGTTATTTTAGCGTAACAGATGGGACTTCAACCGTAAATAGCCCTGTCTTGACAGTTAATATACAAGATGTCAACGAACATTCACCAGATTTTAACCAGACTTCATACACCGCATCTATATATGACACAGCTTCAAATGGTAATGTGTTTAACTGTAAACGGGATAAATTTTGTTTGGGAGTCCGAGTGAGAACATTTAGGAAAAAAAACTTTATCCCATTGTCAGGATTGGGAGCATTTGCAAGTGCGTGATGACGTAGTATCCTACCATTATAAAACATCCGATCGAACCCAATCTTAAATTCAACGTAGGCTTATCATTTTTTACATATACAATATGGTTGAACAAATTTACATTAGGAGTTAAGCTAAGCGGATATAATTTTACGCATTTCATAACACATTTCCTTACACACAGATGCGTTCATGAATTGTACAAAAACTTTATCTAAATTAAAAGACATACAAACTTGTTCATGACATTTTGCTTGCAGTATTGGCATTGTCAAAATACTGTTTAAGTTAGTAAACATAAGTATATGTTTCTTCATTTTTAAAAGAAATTCCACATGTTTATCTTATCTTCTACTCTTTTACCTTCATAAGACAATTCTTCGTGAAGAAACAAACAAATACATATGAGTTTTGATAAAATTTTGATAATTAAACCATTTGTGAACAAAATCTATCATGTCCAGGGTTCTAAGTAATAGTTATAGTACATGAAACGAGTTAGTTACGAGGGTATAACACTGGCTGGGGCGACATCAAGGGGTGTTTCTGCAAAAAAATGGCGAGGCCGAGACAATTTTTTTTTTGCAGAAACATCCCGAGATGTCGCCCCAGCCAGTGTTATATCCCCGTAACTAACGAGTTTCATATACTATAACTGTTTTATCGCAATGACATAATGTTTTCTTCTTTTTGTAATAGAAACAAATAAATCGTTAGCTACATTTACATTACAGTTATATTTATAATAGGTAGTTTTTTTCTGCTGCCGCAAAAAAAAAAAAATTACAAAAGAAATCCAATGTTAGAGGCGGATTGTAAACTGTTACCAAGATTGATTCAAGATTAGGCCCTAAAGGGTTTTTTCAGTGGAAATAATTCATTCAGCAGATGTACCTTTTGATTAAATGAGAGTAAATTTCATTTCATTAATTATCTTTGTTTATATTTTTTATTGTATTTATATATTTATTTTATTTTATTGATTTCATTTTTTTGCTGGGAATGGTCCTTACCACTGCCCCATTGGAGCCTCTGTGAAAAAAAACTGCATTGATATATACAAGGTGCGAAAAAAACTCGACCGATATATACATTTGTAACAGTCGAGTTTTTTTCCTATAAAACTGTACTGTTATATATCAATACAGTTTTGAAATGCTCATTGAAGTGTACTGAGTATAATGGGTTAGTAAGAACAAAGGAAAAGTTCCAAACCATGCGATTATCAATCAAAAAGTAATGTTTAGCGTTTGACACGTAGTTATGTTATATAAAGTGTTATGTTTTAGTATATATATGTTTTAAAATTCCCGCGTATTTCAGGTGACGTCATATTGACAGTTTTTGCAACAGATTTAGACGTCACATCTTCATTAACATATTCAATTACAGGTAAGACTTTTTTAAACCGATTATAATAATGGTCAGAAAACGGAAGTAGATACTTCCTTATATATTAATATTTTTTCTGGTTTTCTTCTGGTCATTTTTTGGTATTAGTTTCGTATTTTTTTCTATAGACTTAATCCAATTAAAAAGCTCATTGAAAAATAGAAGAGTTTGAAATATACTAAGATGGATCAGTTCAATGTATTTTAACGTTGTCTTGATGACGTAATAAATATCTAAGCGAAATATTGTATTATAATACATACATTTCTTGTGTTCTTTCTCTATATGTTTTCTCCTTATGAAATGTATTTAAATAATAATATAAATAGTATCACATACTCCTTTCTTTTCAGGTGGGGACTCAACAACATTTTCTATCGGTTCATCATCAGGGGCAGTATCTGTTGCTACAGCTAGTAATCTTAACGCAGCTTCAACACCTTCGTATACTTTAACTGTACAGGTTTCGGACACGTCAACTACGGATACTGCTTCAGTCATAATAACAGTTTTAGGTGAAAGCAGTATTTGTCATTATTAATAATATAATGAGCAAGAGAGAGAAGTTTTTCTTTCTCTAATAGTTAAAACGTCAGACTAGAAATTTAGATATCTAAGGAATGGTGGCAGAGTCGGCTCAAGCCCAACCAGGAGCAAGCTGTTGTTTCCGTGAGCAAGAAATTTTACAGCCATCGCTTAGTACTGGTTGGTTCCAGGAACGAATTCGAGCGTGTTTTAATAAACATATACCGGTAGCTTCCAACACAATCGAACTAAATTAAATTAGTATGACATAAATATCAATTTGGAAATATTTAGAAAAAACAACAGTTGTCTGTACAGACCGGAATATTTAACTTGAGCGGTTATGAGTCTCTTTCTAAGAAAAAAGAAATTTCAAAAATCAATAGTTTTGATGAGCTCTTTTTTTTCTCATAGAAGCATATTGAAATTTTACACGCATTCATTCACAAAAGGCACCGATGTGACGTCATTTTAAATTACACGGGGGTGTAAGATGTCGAATTTCAAAAGCGGTGAAATCATCAAACGTATTTTGTCTATGTTTAACATGATGGATTGATGATAAATTACTATGTTTAATTTCTGGAGATCAAAAGAATGTAAACTCACAAATAATGAGAGCGTACTTGAAATAATAAAAAATGAACAGAAATATCAAAATGCCTTATATTTGCATAAAATTACATATACTTCCAACCTTCTTGTTTCAGATGACCCTTGTACACCAAACCCGTGTCAGAACTCCGGTGCGTGTAGCCGGTCTGGTACATCTTACACATGTGCATGTCAGACTGGCTGGATAGGTTCAACATGTTCAACAGGTATGACCGACATAATTATCCCCCCCCCTCGAAGAAGATGAGGTATTTTGTTTTGCTAATGTCGGTCGTCTGTGTGCCGGTCTATCCGTCAGTGGACAACATGGTTACCGCTGATTATCTAAAAAATAATTGATCACAAAGTCTTCATTTTTCACATACTGATTGGTCATAACTAGTAGATGACTCCTACCCCTATTGATTTCGGGGTTACTAGGATAAAAGTCAAGGTCACAGGGGTCTTAAATGTCAGAATTACATTCGCTCATTATCTTGAAAGCTTTTAACCCCACAGTCTACTTTTTTCACATACTTATTGGTTATAATTATTAAATAACCCTTATTGATTTTGGGGTCACTAGGTAAATGTCAAAGGGGCCTTAAATGTCAAAATGGTTTCAGCTTATTATCACAAAGTCTTCATATTTCACATAACGATTGGTCATAACAAGTAGATGACGCCTAATTATTTGGGGTCACTAGTTCATTACCGGTCATTATCTTGAAAACTATTTATCACAAAGTCTTCATATTTCACATATTTATTGGTCATATATAGTAAATGACCCTTCTGATTTTGGGGGTCACTATTTCAATGTCAATGTCACAGCGGCCTTAAAAGTTAGAATGGTTTCCGCTCATTACCTTGATAACTTTGTATCACAAACTCTTCATATTTCACATTTTGATTAGTCATAATGGGGTCACTAGGTCAAAGGTCAAGGTCTTTTTATTTCACCTATTTATGGCAATTTTGTTAAAGAAAAAAGAAAATACTATGAGTCAAGGGCTAGAAATGTGGGCATATGTGTTGTTCAACATTTATTCTTTTTACTATGTTTTAAACACGTGGCACCTTCTTCAGCTTGTATTAGTTAATGTGCACATTTAGTAACTATGTTTTCTCCGCTTTCCACATTTTCTAAACTAACAACAATAAGATGTTCTGTTTTTCACTTCACTGTTGCTACAATTGTCTTGTCATTCGAGATAATTGACTCATTCACATAAGGCACCGAAGTGCCGTCATTTTAAATTACACGAGGGAGTAAGATGACAAATTCCAAAAGCGATGAAAGCACTTAAATATTCATTCTGAAACGCAAGAATCAAACGTATTTTGGCTATGTTTAACATGATGGATAGATGCTTAAAACAACTCTGATATATGTTTTTATACCTGGAGATCAAAAGAATGTAAAAAACATGTATTGAAAGCGTACTTGAAATAATAAAAATTATACAGAAATATCAACAATGAATCGGATAAAATGCCCTTAATTTGTAAAAAAATACATATACTTACAACCATCTTGCTGCAGATGACCCTTGTACACCAAACCCATGTCAGAACTCGGGTGTATGTAACCAGACTGGAACATCTTACACGTGTACATTTCAGACTGGCTGGATAGGTACAACATGTTCAACAGGTATGACCGAATTAATTATGCCCCCATCGAAGAATTTCGCTGTCGGTCGGTCTGTCGATCCGTCCTTCGGTGGACCACATGGTTTCCGCTGATTACCTTAAAAATTATTTAGCACAAAGTCTTCATATTTTACGTACTGATTGGTCGTAACTAGTAGATGACCCGTATTGCTTTTATTGTTACTAGGGCAAAGGCAAGCTCACAGGGGTCTTAAATGTCAGAATGGTTTCCGCTCATTATTTTGAAAACCTTTTTATAACAAAGTTTTCATATTTCACATATTGACTGGTCATAACTAGTAGATGTCCCCTATTGATGTTTGGATCACTATGTCAAAGGTCAAGGTCACAGGGGCCTTAAATGTCAGAAAGGTTTCCGCTCATTATCTTGAAAACTATTCATCACAAACTCTTCATATTCCACATATTTATTGGTCAAATATGGTAGATGACCCTACTGATTTTGGGGTCACTATTTCAATGTCAATGTCACAGCGGCCTTAAAAGTTAGAATGGTTTCCGCTCATTACCTTGATAACTTTGTATCACAAACTCTTCATATTACACATTTTGATTAGTCATAGCGGGGTCACTAGGTCAATCAAGGTCTTTTTATTTCACCTATTTATGGCAATTTTCTTTAACAAAATTGCCAATACTATGAGTCAAGGGCTAGAAATGTGGACATATGTGTCGTTCAACATTTATTCTTTTTACAATATGTTTTAAACACGTGACACCTTCTTCAGCTTGTATTAGTTAATGTGCACTTTTAGTAACTATGTTTTCTCCGCTTTTCACATTTTTTAAACTAACAACAATAAGATGTTCTGTTTTTCACTTCATTGTTGCAACAATTGTCTTGTAATTCGAGATAATTGACTCATTCACATAAGGCACCGAAGTGCCGTCATTTTAAATTACACGAGGGAGTAAGATGACAAATTCCAAAAGCGGTGAAAGCACTTAAATATTCATTCTGCAATGCAAGAATCAAACGTATTTTGGATATGTTTAACATGATGGATAGATGCTTAAAACAACTCTGATTATATGTGTTTATTCCTGGAGATCAAAAGAATGTAAGAAAACATGTATTGAAAGCGTACTTGAAATAATAAAAAATAAACAGAAATATGATGAAATGCCTTTAATTTGTAAAAAAATACATATACTTACAACCATCTTGCTGCAGATGACCCTTGTACACCAAACCCATGTCAGAACTCGGGTGTATGTAACCAGTCTGGAACATCTTACACGTGTACTTGTCAGACTGGCTGGATAGGTACAACATGTTCAACAGGTATGACCGAATTAATTATGCCCCCATGGAAGAATTTCGCTGTCGGTCGGTCTGTCGATCCGTCCTTAGGTGGACCACATGGTTTCCGCTGATTATCTTAAAAAATATTTATCACAAAGTCTGCATATTTCACATACTGATTGGTCGTAACTAGTAGATGGCCCGTATTGATTTTATGGTTACTAGGGCAAAGGTCAAGGTCACAGGGGTCTTAAATGTCAGAATGGTATCCGCTCATAATCTTGAAACCTATTTATCACAAAGTCCTCATATTTCACATACTGATTGGTCATAACTATTCAATAACCCATCAAGCTCACAGGGGTCTTAAATGTCAGAATGGTTTCCGCTCATTATTTTGAAAACCTTTTTATAACAAAGTCTTCATATTTTACATATTGACTGGTCATAACTAGTATATGTCCCCTATTGATGTTGGGATCACTATGTCAAAGGTCAAGGTTACAGGGGCCTTAAATGTCAGAATGGTTTCCGCCCATTATCTCGAAAACTATTTATCAAAAAGTCTTCATATTCCACATATTTATTGGTCATATATAGAAGATGACCCTTCTGATTTTGGGGGTCACTATTTCAATGTCAATGTCACAGCGGCCTTAAAAGTAAGAATAGTTTCCGCTCATTACCTTGATAACTTTCTATCACAAACTCTTCATGTTTCACATTTTGATTAGTCATAATGGGGTCACTAGGTCAAAGGTCAAGGTCTTTTTATCTACCTATTTATGGCAATTTTATTAAAGAAAAAAGAAAATACTATAAGTCAAGGGCTAGAAATGTGGGCATATGTGTCGTTCAACATTTATTCTTTTTACTATGTTTTAAACACGTGGCACTTTCTTCAGCTTGTATTAGTTAATGTGCACTTTTAGTAACAATGTTTTCTCCGCTTTCCACATTTTCTAAACTAACAACAATAAGATGTTCTGTTTTTCACTTCACTGTTGCTACAATTGTCTTGTCATTCGAGATAATTGACTCATTCACATAAGGCACCAAAGTGCCGTCATTTTAAATTACACGAGGGAGTAAGATGACAAATTCCAAAAGCGGTGAAAGCACTTAAATATTCATTCTGCAATGCAAGAATCAAACGTATTTTGGCTTTGTTTAACATGATGAATAGATGACTAAAACAACTCTGATATATGTTTTTATTCCTGGAGATCAAAAGAATGTAAGAAAACATGTATTGAAAGCGTACTTGAAATAATAAAAATTATACAGAAATATCAACAATGAATCGGATAAAATGCCCTTAATTTGTAAAAAAATACATATACTTACAACCATCTTGCTGCAGATGACCCTTGTACACCAAACCCATGTCAGAACTCGGGTGTATGTAACCAGTCTGAAACATCTTACACGTGTAATTGTCAGACTGGCTGGATAGGGTTAACTTGTTCCACAGGTATGACCGAAATAAGTTTTACTTTGTTTTAAACCCGTAACACTTCCTTCAGCATGCATTAATCCATGTGCACTTTTAGCAACTACGTTGTATACACTTTCCACAATTTCTAAACTAACAACAATACAGTATTCCGTATTTCACTTCACAGTTGCTCAACTTGTCATTAAAATAATTGATTCTGTGTTCTGTGTTTATATTTCTTAAGCCAATATTTAACTTCAACATACTCAGGTCTGCGATTTCAACAATAACTTTTGCTTTCAATGCTTTATCTCACCCCATGTTTTGGATATATTTACACATTTTTGCTTATTTTAATCATTTTAATTTTTTTTCTAAAACTAAGCTGATCAGCTGTTTTTGTTGTTGTTTTTGTGTGTTATTTTAGTTGTTGTTTAACTAAGGAGATAATGGGTTACCATTAAACATTTAACAACGTCGTTTTTAGCTGTTTGTAATAAAGAGTTGCATGCCGTTTGTTATGTTTCAATGTTGTCAAAATTTATTCATTATACACCCCAGTTACTCGGCGTTTTAATAAGAACGCGGTGGGATCGCAGTAAGGACGCCGTAGCAACTCAGTAGCATCTCCTACAACGCATCAGGGGTGCCATGAAAGCGCAAAAGGAACGCCGAATGAACGCGTTGGTTATTCACAGTGCCTTTACGGAGATTGTGCGGCGTCTCTGCCGCGCTTATACTGCGTGTGCACGGTGCTTTTACGGACCTTTACGATTTCAGCGCATCGGAGTCCCGCGAGTGTGAGCGCCGTAAAAGCGCAGTGGGAGTGCAAAGAACGCAGTTGAAGCACAGTCCGAACGCAGACAATCCCCAATTAAAACGCCGTGGAAGCTCCGTAGCATCGCCATGATCGCCATGAAGTCTCCATGGCATCAAAAATATCACATTTTTATTGCGATTTCGCGGTAAGGCCGTGCAAACGCAGTCTAGTGTGACAGGGCCTTTACACATCATATTGCCTAGACACTCGAATTGTAAACATCTTTAAATTTAGTTATGTTTTTTTAATTTTATATAACCAAACATCGATTAATGTTTCAGATGATCCATGTTTACCAAATCCTTGCGAGAATTCGGGCAACTGTTCGATATTAGGAACCTCTCACCAGTGTCAATGTACTTTTGATTATTTCGGGGAAAATTGTACAGGTAATCAGTTATAGAAGTAGTTTTCATGTTCAGTTCAAATGCATTTATACATATTGTTTTGTGCATAATAGGAATGCAGTTTTCATTGTCTGCAAAGTATGCTTGCATTGCTTCCTTTGCGAGATTTGTTTGCAAATTAGAGCAAGATGACTGTCACAATGTGTAGCAAGAACAATACAAAACGGACAAAAAATAATTCTCTAACTTTAACGGGTTGTTTCCTTTTTATGTAATTTTGCTTTGCAGTACTGAATTAAATGTTCTGAGAACTGACTTCATAATAAATCTGTAAATATCATAATATAAGTGATCTTAACACAATATCATTTCTTCTTTGATAGTGAATTGTGATTAAGTCAAAATTTTATAAGGTTTAATGACGAAATAAATTGTTCTGATACAATAACAAGATAACTTCAGTCCGTAATTGGGCTTTGGCGTTTGTTAGATTATATGTACGAGTATAATTATTAATATGTCCATATGAAAAAAAAGGCGGTTTCTGATTTTCATTTTTATATTCAACCGCTTATTAAAAATAAATTCAAAGGGAAAATGAATGTTGCAAATCGAACCAGAAACAAGTACTGAAACCTTTTAACCATAGTCTTTTTTATGCAGAAAAAGACAACACAGATAATGACGATGGCCTTTCAGCAGGTGTCATAGCAGCAATAATCGTACCAAGCGTTTGTGTTGTAGGTGCGGTATCTGCCGGGGTAATCATTTATCATAAACATATGTAAGTATATAAGGTTTCTTTCTTTGAGAAAGGTGTTAAATATATTTCCATTTATCTTATACCCATTCTTAAGTAAATAAAATTCAAACTTTTTTGTTGTTTTTGATGTATCAATCTGGGATATAAGCTTTTAGTGGTGATAATACCACCAATGCCATATTGAAATACGTTTAGCGACCGATTGGTTGATAAAGTAACATACGGAGTTATTTTGAAGACTCATTGTACCTCTTTATTATTGTTTTTGTAGTACTATTTTTCAAATTCGGATTTTGCCAAATAAGTATATATGTTATACAATAACCTGCAATGACCATAAGGATAGGTTGTCATTTTAATTATGTTTTATATGAGATACTAGAAATGACGTTTCATACTCTCAAAATTTCTAGTTCCGTCCATTGTTTTCTTGTTTCATCTAGGAAATTTTTAAATGAGAAATGCTTGGTACGAAAAAGAAACGGCTTAGAAAATTTACATTTTTTCAGCAGATATTTAGAAAAAAAATCATTTCTGTAATTGATACAAAATGGGTTACTACTTTCATCTTTAATACTCGTTTAATTGTTATGTATGTCATATTTACAGAATAAAGAAGAAAGAAAAGGAAATATCGAGATTTGATTCTTCAAAACTCGATCATTACAAAATGAATAGAAATAGTGTGTCGCCTAGAGACCTTTCAATATACGAAAAAGAAAACTGAAAGCAATTGACATTCAAAAGAGAAATTATGTGTGTTATAATTTATCAAGTGATTGATAATAAAGTCAAAATAAAAAAGTGATAATTCAGAAAAATGCGAAAATGATCCTGGACGATGGAAATTGGCACTTCCTCATGAACAATTTCAATCAAATTAAGTCAGGGTTTTTTTCACTTTCTAATTTCGTAATAATTGCTTTTGTGGAGTTTCAGCTTCTAAATTACATTTTTAAAGTGATATTAGTCTTTACTGTTGTATATATTATCAATTCAATTTCATTTTAATGCATTTATGTATCGAACATGGTTTGTAGATTATGCGACAAGCAATGTATGAATGAACGTCATATGTTAATTAAGTTATAAATTGGATTCTATAATACTCAGTTTCAATTTGCCAACTTATATGTTAACTTATTTTGACTTTCACCTGTTCACGTACTATATGCTCTTGGATGTACATATTGACACTTTGATTAATTGAATAATGAGAATGTGTGGCAATGTATATATTGCCATATTTTGCAGAGACGTTTACAGGACTGTTTCGACTATATAGAGAATGTAAAGCGGGTTTACCTTAATATATTAATATAGCTTGATCGTTCCTTAATCTTGATTTACGCAGATATTAACACATTTTGGTCATACCTCGAGGGTAAGACATCTAAACCGACTTTACTATATAAATAACCAGCAATTACCAATTTCTCTAAAATTGGCCTAATACTACTGCTGCTCTCAAGTGATTTTTGAATCAGCGGTGAGAGACAAAGTATCATTAGATTCAATGTACGAGATCAATTGTCTGAAGAAAATGTGTTTATCTATCCAAAAGATCGAACCAGTGACCCTTGCACCCACAACCCGATTTACAAATGCAAAACTCAAACTATTTAGCAAAGCGGATGTGTTACTATAAATTGTGTAATCTATATTAAATCCTACCTAAATTTTGTTACGTTTTGCTAAGAATCTTATATATGATATTGATTTAATTAATAAATATTTTTAAAAATATTTTATTTCCTTTTCAGTTCTAGTGCCCCAGTTGATCTATGTAAGATTAAGGCTTTTTGAGCTCCTTTTATTGATAAAAGGCATTTTTATTCCTAATAAGTGACATACAAATAACAGAAACAACAAATTTACAATAACAACATATATTATCCCTTCAAGAGACAAACGTTAAAAACGTGTCATCAAAATAAATTATTGTTATCTTGATTTTAAAACATGTTTGTAAAGTTACTGTGTATCATTGTTCAGGGTTAGGCTCTTGTAGAAGCTCAGATGCTGTTATTGTCTTCTTCTTCACCTTTATTGAAACTTATTTTACTGGCTGACACTAAACCTTCAAGTTTACATACTACATACTCGTTCCCACTTTTGTAAAAATGAATGTTTCCGGTATGATGTAGGATTGATTTTCGTAATTTTGCAACAGCAATAGCTTCCTGAAATTTAAGAGAATGTTTTATTATATAATCGTATAAAGTACTAAAGTTTTGTTATTTTCATAATTGATAGTAAAAATAAAATACATTTTGTTTGTTTGTGTAATCAATCCAAGTTAAAGAGATTCAGCAGTTTCTGTTTGATGATTCCGGCAAAGAAAGGTGAAACAGAACAAAACATAAAGTTGTACGTTGTAGTTTTAGGAAATAATAAACTAAATCACTTACATTGGCTTTTTCCATTCTTAACCTGATAATTTCTCTCTTCATATCCTCGTTGTTCTGTGTATCAGAATGCGAACCTAAAATATATTAATATTGCCAGGAAAGTAATGAATCTGATATAACATTCAAGATTTCTTCTTATATGCCATCTGCAGATTCTAGAATAAAGAAGTTAAAAGACAATCTTATGAAGGCAATATGTCTTCCTAAAAGAATATTAAAACATTTGCACTTTATCTCCTTCCTAGAGCAACATAATATCCATTTATTAAATGATTTGAAAAAGGCCCATTTTAATGCTAGGACACTGTGATGAATTTATGTGCAACTTTGAACAGTTTTTTTTAATTTACTTCAAATTCCATGTTTTTTTAACAACTACAATTTCTTCTTTCAGATGAAGATTCGTTACAGCTTCTACAAAACTCTTAAAAAACTAAATTGCAATTAGGAGTTTTTTAACTGAACATTTTCACATAGAAATTAAAAACCAAAGTAACGAGAACAAAGTTTCTCTTAAATACAGCAGCACGTTTTACGATTTTCACTAATTACAAAACTTCCGATACAAATAACGCTTTTAATTAAAGGTACAAACAATTCAAAATTAATTACTGTTTGAGATAAAGCACAAATAAATGAGGAATATTGACGGCTTGTTCCAATGCATTATAGTTCATACAACCTTTCACATATATTAAAAAAGTTCATACCACTGGTATTTGAAGAAGCAGCTGTTTGTGCAGATAAGACCTGTATGGATGTTACAAACCTACCTTGAATTTGATTTCTCATCTTCACCTGGATGAAATATGAAAATACAAGCATTGCATGATCATTTATATTTCACCCACATTACAGTAATTTACAGTAGTAAATCTAACCTGGTAATTCAAATCTTGCATTATATACTAGTATAAAGCTCTTAAAACATTATATAGTGTTTTTTCTTAAGTTGATACATTTTGCAAACAAAGCCAAACAGACTGTGGGTGATTCAATTGTGCATGTTTTCACAATTGAATGTTCATAATTTGGTGCATTCTATACTGTCAGTTCAATGCAATTAAATGTATTTAATCCGGTATATCTTACAACCTGTATTAGAAACGTATAGTTTGCATCAATGCGATACTATGATTAGGTAAAAAAAACGACACAACTCCCCTATGGGACATCAATGTAACTGAGTTGTCACGAGGTTGACTAAATACTCAAATAGAAATATTATTTACGCCAGTGTTGTCATCTCGGTATCGCACTAAAACATTAAGAAATGAACTGACCACCAAACACATTGCTAAATTACATAGCTACATTTCATTCTCTAAAATACATTCATAACATAATAAAAACACACGAACCTTTGGTATAAATATGATACACTGTGAGCTCGTAGTACAGAAGAAAAGTAAACAGGATTCTAAAAGAAATTTCAAGGTCATCTGCTCGATCGGTAATGTATGCGCCAGGGGGACACCGAACATGCATGCGATGACGACATTGTAGATACAAGCGCCTATGTACTTCGAGTCGTTGAGCATAGGAATTGTGATATGCCGCGTTTCCCAAGCAAGAAATAATCCAAAGGCAAGCAGAAGACCTTTGTACACATACATGGCGGCAATCCAGTAAACGTTGTTTTCGTTGTAACAATGCAAATATGATTCGAAAGTTATCATGTTCCTACTAAATTCGTCCTGCAACAAAACATTAAAAAACATAATCACACATGAATTCTGAATCCGCGGATGCTGTTGATGCTCTTCCTATTAGGCTAAGCGGGCAACACGAACGCAGATAACAACTGCACCAATGATAAAAAGGTTATGATTTGTGTTCAACAAGACATCTGTTATTATATTTCATATGATAATCTGTACACATAGTACAATCTTCCACATAATGTTTGTGAAGCAAAGTATACATCTGTTTTGTGAGAGGATACAAAAATAGACAAGAGACAAAAATAGACAAACTATTTCTTTCACAGTTAAACAAGACAAACTTCATGCTATTTCGTAAGGCAAATTACCAATTATCATGAAAAGGACATACCATGGTTTTTTGTGTGACTTTTATTTTCTGCAGAGGAAAGAATATTGTCCATGGTACCAAAATGATAACATCAATCACCAACATGATTCCAACCATTCCGAACACGTGATAGTCTTTCATCGGCTTTGATTAAATTAAAGATTTATAACGGCTTTATTAAAGATATCTTTAGCTTTCTGAATATTTGTAAATATTAAAGAAGAATATGTTCCATCGATGCACTAAAATTTTCATGTAACACAGTACTACCAATAGTGCAAAATGCAATAAACGGAACTTGTAGAAACGGCCCAAATGAATGACAAAAAATCCTGAATACGACGATTAAGGATATTTAATTCCACATATGCATGTAAGAATACATACATGTACTCAATAATAAAACAAATGAGAATATTTTATAGAAACTGCAAAAATGTGTTTATTATAATTTTTTATCATTATTATACTTTTTTTCAAATATGCGAGGTGGGATAAAAATGAAATAATAGTTAATGAATTTCGCTATAGATAAAATTAAAAACACAATCTTTGATTGAGGCAATACCTTCATTTTTTGGTCTCTGAACACTACATAGACTCGATATGTTTTTGTGAACAGGGCACCAAACAAAGTCGTGAAACCTAATGAAAGAAGCCATATTCGTACCTGAAAATACATTTGTATTAAAGGCACATACTCGAATATATTTGCCCTTCTTTAGAAAGGTGAACCATGAGTTAAATAATGTTTAAATAATAGTTTTATAGCATGTTAGATACTTATCTAATAAGGAAAGTAGCACTGAATTTGAGACGATTTGACATTAAGATGACTAAGTAGTATTTTAACTACCATACAAAATTTTATATTACTACAACTGAGCTAATTCCAAAAAATAAAATCAGCAAAAGCAAAGGATGGACCAGGGACATGGCCAAGGAAGAACTTTTGGAAACTATAACGGAACAATATTTTTGAAAGATTTGAACAAAACTACATTTAATTTGCTTAATTGGCCTTTTGTTTTTACTTAATTTGCCCTTAAAACCATAGAAAAGTTATGGAAAGATTTTTTCTCTCTAAAATTTTTATTTTAGGTGTCTAAAGAAGCCTTACCCTTAACGTCAATGTCATTCCTGAATAAATAAACAAGTCATGTGAGCGAGCGTCTATTTCACAAAAATACACAAATTGTAACCTTTCAAATAACTGGTTATAGAGAGGTGAAACACCTCCTGTTCTCAAGATTTTAAGATGAAATGAAAAAACTATTACCATGCACAGTCTACTGCCGGTGACTCCATCCTCGTTTCTGTCGTATGCAATGGCATTAACCAGTATTTCGAGATATATCAGCAAGCAGCCGACAATAATTACGTTGTTAACCATAGGACTTGACATTTTAATGGCACTGAAACCAAAACAGAAAAGTAGATTCAGGTAAATGACTGTTACTTTTAATCAACATTTTTTTTTAATTCCGTGTATTATATATGGCAACTGATAGGCATTCATTCGCACTTGATCGAAAAAAAACTAGTAAATTTGAAATAAAACATAAGAATGAAATTTAACAGACAAACGTATATAATTGTTTCGAATCATATCCCATATCCAGGTATCATTAACATAAAATCACTAAAAACAATACTTTGCAATACCCTTTAATGTACAAATTTAAAACCATTAAATGTACACAGTAACATGGTATAATTAGCTAACTTTGTGTGCTTGTTTGATTGTTTAACGTCGATTTTAAAACATTTTATGTCCATGACTCTGCGGTCAGTCTACCTAAATGGCTTTCCTACAAGTGACCATCAGACTCAATGTCATCATCAATTATCACGGGAAATTCCTTCCGCACAGGGTTTAAATGTAAAAAAGTTACACAGAAATCAGCAACCTTTCCTCTACAAGGTCACAAGAAAAATAGAATACACGCTTAAAATGTACAAGGTTAAATAAATGATAAATCAGTAACTATTAGATGAATCATATTTATGAAATGAGATACAAGGTGGCAGACAAACGTCAAACCCGAGACTAAATTAAATTAAAATAATTAAGATTTACGTGTTGTTTCTAAAGTATATATTGAAGAACAAAAATGCGATGGACATGGTTAATCCTAAACAGTCCAAGGTTACAATCAGGCCAAACGATATACGACTGGGTGGTACAAGAATATCTTGGTAAGTAAATCTGTCCTCTGGAATTTCGCTTCCTGAAATATATATAATATTTTACGTTGATTCAATGTAACTAGAACCATAGGACTAACTTTGATTATTTTCACCTGCTTGTGTTAAAAGAAATTCAGAAATTTTTATTTTCAAATTATTTTAATCATTAAACGAAAACATTCAAATTCGATAATTAAAATATATGTCGATGTTCAATTATTTTGGGTTTTTAATGAAAAATGTTTATTATTTTGAGGATTCAAAATAGTTACCTGGCCAAAGTGTCGCATAATCTACAAACCATGTCAAAATGTCGCTTACTTTGTCATATATGGCAACGGTACTTATTTGATCATCTAAAACAATAAAAAGAATTAAAATATATCAGAAACACTAGCACATTAATATCATTAATTCAACTCATAAACCATTCAGAGTACTTACAAGACAGAAAAAGTATCACTCGACCACGTGATATTGATTCATTATCGTTTTGCAATAAAGAATTCCATTGACTTAATTTTGTATTTTGAAACTGGCACAATATCATAAAAGAAAATACGCATTAAACTGACAATGGCAGCGAAAAAATATTCTATGAAAATGTTAAGAAGAAATCTCCTGAAGGCAATTAGGTTAGATGTGTTTAGGGAACCATTATTCTAACTTACCAAAATGTTGTTTCAGACTGGTTATTCCAATGCGACTACCAGTCTCATCAAATGCAACTGGACCCTTTTGTTAAAGAGACACAATAATCCATGTTTAGTAAAGATTCATACCATAATAATTTGAAAAGTTTAAGAAAACTATTGATGTTTAAACGAGAAAAATGGACTAATTTACCCATTTATGTTTCATAATTCAATAAAATGTATGTATGCGTGTAAATTACTTTGTTTATTCACTGCCAACAGCTTTGACAATGTATCTGAGCAGAAAAATCAATAAAACCTAAGAATGTTTTATAAACAAACAGATTTTTTTCTTAAATGATAAAACAAACCTTGTTGTATTTTTTCATACTTTTGTATTATAAAAGTTTTCTTTCCTTCAGATGATGGAAACCTTTCAAGTGTAAAATTTATTACATATTTGCATGTAACATTTCGTTAGAGTTATGTAGTTGAAATGGAAAACATTTATTTGAATAACAATTATTATGTTTTTCATTGGTGGGTAATTGTTTATTTTACAAATAATTGTAAACTGACTCCAATCATTTATGTTGATTAGGACCCCAACTGAAATTCAAATATATTTTATGAGGCTTACTGAAATTCCTTGAAATTGCACCTCTTTCATTCCTCTTACAACGGCTTCCAAGTATTCGTCACTGTAATTATAGTTGTGTATATCTAATCCAGATTTCTCCAGATATTTTATACTGTTGTTGAGACCTGTTTGTATGAAAAGCTCATATAAAAATTCGAAAAAAGGGATGATCCCTCGGAAGGAATGTAAACAGCAATATTACTTGAAAATTGTAGACACGAGTTTATTGAGTTTGTTCATGAGATGTAATGTAAAGGTATAACATCTCTCATCGGCTTGTCTATCTATTATGATTTTATTCATTCCTTTTATTTAAAAAAATATTTCTGAGTTTTTAAAAAAAAATCATTGGTGTTTCATCAATAGTGCTTCATAAACAAATATATACTTAGTAAGATCACAGTTAGATATGTATTCCCTCAAAGTTTTTAAAAAAACAAAACTGAATGGAACAAACCTAAAGCTAGTGCCCATGGTGTATCGTAGATCCACGTCATTGACGAAGACAATGAGTAACTTGTGTTACTTAAAAGAACATTTATATCGTTTATGACATCTGTTTTTACCTGCAATTATATATAGGGTTACACAATAAGATTCCATACCCTCCCAAAATCCTAGATATAACCGCATATATTCCGTTAGCGTTTGTATCTAGATGTATATTTCTTCATTCAAAATACATGATCTAATCATGTAAAAGAAAGTATTAAGCAATTTTTACTCATACTCATTTTTATCTCCCGTTTAAATAATCTCACATTATTTCGGTAATAAAGAAAGATTAAGAAAGCAAATGTGCCAAATGTAAAAGCTCTAAGATGCTTACCATAATGAGCAATACTTTTGAACACATGGGAAGATTTACTCTATGTGCATTGGACTATCCGTACAAAGGGTGTATATCATAGCAAAATGGAATTTAAACATGAAATATGCATTTAAAAGTCCGTAAGGGTTAAACGAACCTGCCCAGAGACGGTAGCTTTTGATGGTGCACTTTCCCGGACGTACCCAGTTGTAAAGACACCTTGAGTTGCTTCAGTCAGTTGTTCCATTGTACAACTCATACCGTCAACATTTGCACGTTTTTGCCATCCGTCATATAGGGTAGGTCCACTCAAGATCCATACATGACTGTTACCATACATATTCTGATGATGAGCCTATACAAATAATGTTACAAGATAAACGTAAACAGGATCTTTTTAAAACTTTTCTTGGAGGGATGTTAAGGGCGTATAACCTTAGTACATGTATTATTTTATCTTACCAGATATCAAAAGCTAAATGGAAAGATCAAAAACAAACAATAAAATAACCCTTTTTAACGTTATGTTTATAAAAAAAGATCGTTGATTTTGTAAAAGTTTGATAAGAGATAATGTATGGTTACACAAATGATCAGTTTTACAGTTTTATGAAGCATTACGTTTCTGTAAACCACTGTGAAAACAGAAGTCATACAGTCAAAATGTTTTTTTCCAAAATTTAATGAATAACATTAAAACGTAATTTTAATACGCGTAATAAATACGATCATACATTTAAAAGTCAAATCTTTTGGCTCTTTGGGTCAGCTTTTGTATGTTTAAAAAAGTTATACAAACAAAAAAGATGACAACTGTTTACCTCACAAAAAAGACTGGGGGCAACGCTGGTTCTGAATGCGCCAACTATAATACGCACACCAAATTGCTGCAACAGATGAACATTTTAAAAAATAGCAACAAATAATTGTTGATGCAAGCAACAAGGGTTCTTACGAGTGCTCTGAAAAATGTGAAGAAAATATGAAATAAAAAAGTTTATCTACAGGGAGCAATAATATTTATGATATTTCATTTGTCATTCCATAACAATGTGTGTTTTAAAGTATGTGCGCATTGAATAATATTGTCATTTTAAAGTATGTGCGCATTGAATAATCTTGTCATTTTAAATTATGTGCATTGAATAATATTGTCATTTCAAAGTATGTGCATTGAATAATATTGTCATTTTAAAGTATGTGCATTGAATAACACATAATGTGTGTTTTATATAAACGATTGGGAATCGTTTCACGCATATAAAACTGGCTATAAGCAATCACTTGCTTTTAATGTGTTTGTCGTTATTTACCAAAATTTGTAATTTTTCTTTTGTATAATTCATATTGTGATACATTGTCAAAAAAGCTGAATATTATTTTAGAAAAGACAATTTAAAATAAGTAAGATCTGTAAACAGCAGTGTGTAAAATTAATTTTATACACATCGATTTAATCTGAGATTATTCCTGTAACTAAGATATGACTATTGTATCACTTAAATGACTTTCAAAATGTTTTTTTCTCTTCTCTTGAAACAGAAACAAATCATGTAGTTTTTTATTCCTAACTAAGATATGACTATTGTATCACTTAAATGCCTTTTATTAAAATTATTTTTATTCACATCGTTTCTTGGTTAAAATATTTAATCTGAGATTTTTTCTGTTATTAAGATATGACTATTGTATCACTTAAATGACTTTCAAAATGTTTTTTTCTCTTCTCTTGAAACAGAAACAAATCATGTAGTTTTTTTTTGTCCCTATATCTTTTTGTTTCATAACCTATTACAGCGATCAAAGCAGTTCATCAAAGATTATTTAAAATAAGGATATTAGAAAGCGAAGCAATTCCGTCAACACTAATGATTTAAGAAATTGACATTCATTAATGTCCTACTGGTCAATTATTTGTCCTAAATTATAAATAATGAGGGTTTTCTGGAAAACGCCAATAACACTGTCTTTTTAACGAGTGTTTTCATTTGACTTGCTATCATTTTCACGGCAGATAAAACAATAAGCACGTTTTTCTTCATTATCTTTTCGCAGTTTATCAGTTTATCATTATCAGTGATATATACATGAGTTTGATAAAAGAAAAAAAAAATTTATGCAAAAGATATGCAAAAGCTTTTGCAACGTCTTTCGTACAAAATGAAGGTATAAGAATGTTTGCATTTCTTACACGTATAGCGCACTAAAAGCACCGTATAAAACAATAGTAGTATCACATTGATATACATTAAATAGAACTATGACAGTTGAACAAAAACACTACTTAGTTCATGTACGATAGAAATAATAAATCACGACAATGTTTAAAACACAAATAATCAAAGCAAATGATTAAAGTGATATCAACATTTAATACACCTTTAACTGGAAATGAATGTTTCCTTTCCCAGAAAACCCTCAAATGAATGTTTCCGTTTGTTTTGCCATGGAAGCACATCAACTTTTAAGTTGTTAAGCCGCAATTTAAGTAATAATATCAAAGTAACACTAACGGACAATGCAATTTCAATAAATGACACAGGTATTTTTCAATATCCTTCAGAGACCAACCAAAGAAGCATCCATCTTCAACATTGTTAAATGTATAATACGAAATACGACTCAAATTACAAAGCGCGAGGACTGCAAAACGCCAACTGTACAGTCTTTTTAATTGGAATATTCATTAAGATTTGCTATAAAGTTTTATGGCCAATAAACAATAAGATGCTGTCTTCTTGATACTATTTGTCATAAATAAGTGACATATACTAGTATATGATGAACGAAAGGAAAAGTGATTTGCAGGACGCACAAGCTTTCTTTACGTGTACACCTTTTTACATGTATAGAACACGAAAAGAATCGAGAAAAGCACCATTTTCACCATAGCGATGTGTATTAAATTAAACTATTTCAGTTCGTATATATGTTCGTATATAACTATTTCAGTACGTATATATGTTAATCTGTACAGCAATTCTTAATTTATAAATAGTTTTTCAAGAGTTTTTGTCAAGTTGTTTATTCATTTATTTAGCTGTTTTATTGAATGCATGCATTTTACAGTATATATATCCATGCTTTTAAGTTAGACATACTAGTAAATGAAATCTAATTACATGTATATGATAATATTAACAGAGATATTATTGTCGGTAGATACTAATTGATCAAAGTTCAACGTAAATTAAAGCTTTAAAATTCATTAGGGTATTTGCATCTTTTCATTTGATATATATATTTGAATAAGAGGTTTCTGTGACCTTGGTAACGGTTACAAACCCATTTTCTTAAAAAGAAAAATATTATCTGGACTAATAAAGTTATTCTTTTTTTATGCGTTATATCTTTTTCAAAACATTTTTGTATTATGTCTCATGTCATAAACATTTTCGTGACTCCGAAAATATTGTTTGAAATGCCGATTATATCAGGTTCATGTCGGATAAAGCTAATTCCTTATCATGACAAACAGTCAAACACAAATAAAGAAAACATGTTATTACATTGATATTAAATTTAAGTAAAGCTCTTCCAATTTATTGCCATGGCAACCAAATGACTGTTAAGCTGACAACAAAGTCATTTATTATATTCAAGCAACGTTGAAGGACAAAGAAAAAGTCAAATGAAAGAAGAGATATAAGGCATAAATATTAGCACGATACTTATCTTGCCTAATTGGTGATAATAAGTATGAACATAATGTGCCATGTTAAAGAGTTCACATCACTCACAGGATGTACGACATCAGTCTATTTACCTTGAACCGTTTGAGGATGTCCTTGAAATTGCTGGCTTCAGATATGACAGCAGACGTTACCAGTGTCATGTTGTTATCACGAAGAAGGCTCTGAAAATTGGCTATTTGCTGCAACAAAAAAATATTCCTTCGGAAGTCATTAATGCATTGTGAGATTCGTCGTCATTACTTTTACTTTCAATACTATTGATAGTCATTATTGAATTTACACTGTTCCAATCAAATATAAAAACGCTTATACATTACGAAAATTGTTAAGTAAAAGTTTTGAATATCTTGTCAGTCAGACATCTTTCATTGCCAATAATTACCGCCTTTCAAGCTAGTATCGGATGCTTATTCTATAAGTAAATCATCTACTAGTTAAGGTGACTATTTTAAACATTTTATCTTCAATGTCACGTTTTAGTCCAAAGTTATGCCTCGACTGGAGACTGGATAATCGCCAACCTGAAATCCAAAGACACTGTTTTATTCTTGGTACGGACATTGGACTCTTGTTTGACAAGGAACAGCAGTACAGTATCTTATGGAAACTGCATTATAATGTTAAAATATTGAAATCCTACCGAATATGAAATTTCCTCTTGGTAGGTAATTGTTGCTACTCTTGTCCATCCGAAATGTTTCATTACTTTTATTCTCAGTGGATTGAACGCATCCGTTACTTGATTAACCTTAAACAATGTTGAGTAAAGATCACTGTGTACAGTTGTTGCTGTTATTGCTATATATGAAAGCTGAAATACAATGGATAGCATGTACAAGATAACTATTTTGCAATTAAGATGGTGAGAACAAGATTGAAAATCAGGCACGATATTAAAATAAGTTCTTTTTTTGTAAATCGTAAATATTGAGAGAAAAAAACACCATGGCAACTAAGTGCAATAAATAACAAAATATAGTTAATTGTGGCGTTTGATATAGTCTTAAAGTAATGACGTACATGTATGCGTAATGTATATATTTATTATATATTTATAAAACTACTTCAAAAAATGGTTCTTATAACATTTCTGTCTCTAATTTCTCTTTATTCAAAAGTTAAAACGCCAAAAATAACTTAGATTTCTTTTTTTCCAATCAAATGTAATTTTTTCTTGTAAAACGATTTAATATAAGGTAAATGGTAGAATCGTGATTAGGTCTTCTAAAATGATCTACAGACATAGGATTATAGATCAATGCCATCATCAGAATTGCTGTCATACTGCGACCCTTTTTAAATATTGTAAAATGAATAGAATGTATCTGTATCCGCATTGTATATGATACAAGATTACCGCAAAACACTCTAGCATTCAGTCAGAGATTTTATAGCTAATCAAATCATCCGTGTCAATGAACAAACAAAACTTGCAAGAATTGGCCTGAAACATGTACTAAGCCCCGGTCTATCAATTTTAATCTCATTTTCACTTACTTCACCTGCGATATTCATAAAAAGCAAGTGCATTTCTATCAAAAGAAGTTTCCGATAAAGCACTGTACGCTGGATATCTAAATCCATGAACTAAATTAAAATTCACGAGTTAATGATGTAATTTCAAATATTTTTGATGACTTTGATTGAATATTTCACCTAGGAAATGAGCAATGGCTTAACAAGAAACTGGTTGAATTTCTTAAAGCTGCACGCCTCAAGATGAGCCAACATATTTCAAGAAAATCAAAATTGAGAAAAATGTACGAATATTTTAAGAAAGGTAAAAACATTCAAGATCCAAGTCAAATTTTACAAGTTATGTGCGGATTAAAACTGATTTTGCGGTATTTTATCGCCATACTACTTGTACTGTGTTACTAACGCAGTAAGGGCTTTTTGATATATTTTTTTGATGTTGATAACTTTTTGGTCATTTTCTTGGATTGTAAGTGCCGATTGCAATATGTAAATTACTTTAATTGTTCACCTCACAATATTTTACTTTTAAATACATTTCTAAATTTTTCATGAAAATTGACATGAATATGGAGGCGTGCTGCTTTAAATAATAATAATAACGAACTTTCTGATATTTTGAGCAAGGTGATAATTATTCATTTGGTATTAACAAAACATATTAAAGGAGAAAACATGAATACAAAAAATACCTCAATGACGTTATAGAAAGGAACTATTTGTCCAGTCACAGTGAGTGAATTAGAGAGCGTAGGTCCAATGATAGCGACTTTTGGCGGGTCCTCCTCTAACAATTCAGTGAGTCGTCTTGCTGCCAAACCAGTTTCACCCTTAATAAAACATGTATTATAAAACATTTTTATGTCGGATTTCTTTGCAATATTTGTTACCATTTATATATGTGAGCGCAATCTATTTCATCCTCGATTGTGCTTTGCCAGAATTACCCGAATCTAAGAAGGTCTTTGTAGGATCTTCCAATCAAGCCATACTCTATAGTAAGACATTATAAATCAACAATGTACCGAGGTAATTAAAAGGAAAGAGATGTAGAGATTCTCATAGAGGACATAGAAACTAACAGAAACAAAATCTAGGAAATCATTCTGCTAATTGTAAAGTATATGTATGGGTAAAGTATATTATAATAGGAACAGACAGAAATTATGATAGAATCACGCTTGTTTACATATGCTAAAAAGACAAACAAAATTCCATTTGTTTTGTAGATTTTGTCGCTGTATTTGGATAGAATAAAGTTATTTTTCTAAGTGATTACCATACAGAATAAGATAAGCAAATAAGAAAATGAAACGTCAATATTGAGACAGAACAGAAACGAAATAGGAATGAATATTAAATCAACTCTAATTCCTGTCGTAACAATAATATTGACGTCAAACACATTATCATTAAAGTTTTATTACAAAATATAATTATTCGCAACAGAGAAATGCTTTAAAATTCTAGAAATCAACCTTAAAAAGGTTTTGACACTTAAAAAACATCTTTATCTATGGCTTTGACTATGTGTGATCTTAGTCAAAATTGAATGTTGGCAAGACATCCGATCTGTTTTGATTTTTTGTGTGCCAAGAAACATTTAAGGATATAGTTGTTTAAGGGACATAATATTATATCATATATGATATCAGAATTTGTTTGAAACCTTAAACCACGTAAACCACAAAATTCTTTATCTGTTATTTGACCAGATTCAATTGTAATGGTACATAAAAATTGAAGTTAAATACTAATTTGAATTTATTAAGATTTCGCTGTTTGCATGTTATTATAGGCAAAAAATGTCTCGAAGTAGAACATTTGTATAATTTCATAATCAATTTGTCTAATGGCAGAGAAATGATCATTTTATTTCACTTGAGAGCAGAATCAATTGCATGATTTTCCGAGATGTTCATAATTACATTGTTCAATAAAAGTAACATTAAACATCACAAGAACTGTGTTCCCAAGAGATTGACAATGTCACTCTTTTAGAGAAACTAGTTTAAAAGTTATATATATGACAATTCATGTAAAAAGCCTATATCATGTATTATTATTTTTAAAGTGGTAACAGACATACGTTTTGTCTGCCGATTGTGAATATAAATAATACGAGGGTGTGTCAATACGTAATGCAATATGGTCAATAAATTTATCAGAAGCGCAAATATTTTACAATTTTCTCCTTCAATCATATCATATTATCTCCTCCTACAAAAATACAAAACTTCAGGTATCTAATCCAATTTTTAAATGCTTCAACATAACCTCTTGGTATACCTGTCAATACCTGCAAGATGGTGGCCAACCCGAGACAATTTCTACTATTGTAGCGATGATCTGCAAGATGTTTTTTTTTCAGTCTATGAAAATGTCACAGGGTGTCAAGTCTGGAGAATACGGTGGATGTTTAGGAACAGTAACTCGTCTTTTGATTACAAGAACTCCTTTGTGTGCAGGGTTGTTCTCATGCAGGAAATACAAACCAGTCGAAGGACGAGCTTTATCGAAGTATTTTTCAATGTTTCTTGAAAAGATATCTCTGTAAAACTGTAATGTGACTATAAACAGGAATTCGGACAGCAGCTTTCAGGGTGTTAAAACAAATAACATACCTCACTTTATTGATACTAACCAATCGCCTGGTCCACGAACATATTGGTGTCCCAAATATAATTGTTACACTTGAAAAATAGCGTAAAGTAAGATTTTTCCTGAGCGTTTGCCCTTCATATTTTACATGAAACTGCATGTGTAAAGCATTTCTTAAATGTGAATAAAATTCTTATTCTTAATAGTTTACACAAACACAAGAATCACGAGTAAAATAAGAAAATATGCCTAATATTGCATTACATATTGATCCAGCCTAATATTATGCTTTTCATATGACTTCTAGAGGATGTAACTATTAAACATGTTTGGATATAAAAGTATAATTTAGATATAATTTTATAATAATAAATATGCTCAGGTGTAAATATTTACACAGTGAAATCTGGAACTCTTGAAGGTAACTATTAGAAACCTGTCATTCATTTTTTGCAAATATTTAGACCAAAGCATAACTTAAATTAAGATTTTAGGTCTGCCAGCTTATAGTAAAAAGTTCTTGTATGTTTCCAAAAATGAAATTTAATTTTCTTTTTGCATAGATCATCATTATTAGATGAATAAATATATCGATGTAAAAAGAGTGCACATTTTTTAAATTACAATTATGATAACAGCAATAGAATAATAAATAATAATAATAATGATATTGATGATAATTGGGAATAAAAAGGAATAATGATAAAAATACTTTATTATTGTACAATTTAATAAGCAACTGAATTAAAACAAAGATACTAACTGGTCATTTTGGAATTTGAAATAAAGCAATAAGATAAATTTACCTTCGTATCTTTAATGATTAATTTAAATTCATAGTCTTTCAAAATACCCGCCTTGTTGATTCTTTGAAATGCATACTCAAACATCGTAGGAAAAAAGTTTGTATATTTCGCATACCAATTGTCAGATAGTTCAAGTAAAACTCCTACATACAATGGTTTCCTCTCTCCAAAAGTATAACCAACACAGCATACCAACCATGCCAACAAAATATTCCAAATAATCATCACAAACGATATATGGAATAAATTTTAGTAATATTAACGTCATTTGATTTTTCCTAAGATAAAGAGAATCGTATTGAAACTAAAATGTTCTCATATTAAATTCTCCCATTTGACTCTCCCACATGCTCCGTGTGAAAAGGTAAGTAACTGACTATTTGTATGTTGTGAGGTAGCTGTGAAAGGTATATTGGTAAATTATCTACGTGTTTGAAGTTCTAGACATCTATTTTACTATAGGCACTAATAACGACGATATAAGATACATGTATAGTCTATACACCTAATTTGACCACAGTTGTCATGGTTATAGCTTAATGAATAAAAAATAAAGAACAATGTTAAATTTACATTAGTTTTTTAAACAAGGTGAGTGTATATATATATTCTATTAGTAAGAATTTAGCAAGTTAATGTTATTTTTTATCTTGTCTATGCTCATCTCGATTAACTGATTAAGGCTACCTCTGGTTACAAATAGAGATCACCCCGAATATATCTTCTGTATTCCCTGAAAAAGATATGCTATTTAACATAAGTGAATACTTTGTATCGTCAACTAACGTAGAACGTTAACTATATATCTTTATCGGGAAATGCTCCCCTCCCTGGCACATCTTGTAAATTGAGGTCAGCAAAGACTAAAGAAACGGAAACCCGCACATGTTTGATAAATTTCATACCATCAAATATCGAGTTATTTTCTTGAAAATTCACACAGGTATTTACAAAAATCAATATATTTGTAATAGAAAAGACCATTTCAATTACCTGATAACTCTTAACATTAATTACTCTGATTATAACAAACTGTTTCTAGTTAATGCACTTAATTCAATTCAAAAGAAGGCCCCGCCCAAAATAAAACGTATACAATATATCATCATATGTTTTAGGTTGTGTCATGTTCATGTTTCATAACGGTATGTACAAAAAGTACAACTGATCTTATTTTATCATCATCAGAACACTGTATTAAATATCAAAAATATACGTATTCAAATCTACCATCATACCAGTTTAATACAAAGTGTTGTCATTCATGTCTTTATTTGTAACATTTAAAGAATACATAAAATACATCTTCAAGACATCATGTATGAAATTAACATAATAATATTGACGATAACGATCTTCTCTTGGAAGACCAATGTGACCAATATCTGAAGCCAATGTTAAAACACTTTCATTTATAAAATGATCTTCAAACTCACTGATTGTCTTAAGTTAAGATCAAATGTTACAGTTCCAAAGTCAATGAAATGGCATGGTTAAATGAGAACTTACTTCAGCAAAAGCAGCAGATTGTACACTAAATTGATCAAATCGCGCAAAATCAATTTAAGTGTTTAATCTACCGAAAACAAAGCTGTACAACACATTTACTATAATGAATTTCAATAGTATAAACAATAGAACAACATGTTACACATATGTATATTTAAAGACGTTTTCCACTATTGTTTTCAAATGTTTGAACTTTGAGAGCTAATGTTCAGAATTCCCGTCGCAGCAAAAAATAAATGGTTATCTCAAGTTCAAAAGTTAACAATATTATGATTGTCGAGAAAGCCATGCCTAAATAACTAGAAATATTAAAAGATATATTTACTCAAACATATACTTAGATATATCTTCCCTTTACATTTTCCGAAATTGTCTCACAACTTATTTTAACTTATTACGCATAAATAAAGTCAACTTCTACAAGTATGATATCGAGTTTTGATTTCATATTGCTTGGTAACACTTTTATGTAAACCGCAAAAATGGATTAAATGTATTTTAGTTTTAACAATAAAAAATGCATTTTTGTTACATGCATTTTGTGACTCCATTAAATTAATCCGAACAAATGTTTAGCTTTATTTATTCTGAAACATATTTTAATAAAAAAATTAATGTTAATCTTGACTATAAAGAAGTGTTTATAATTTGAGGAAAACTTAAAATGTTAACTCGAATGTCTGCTGTGCTTAACGTCAATATCATGAATAGCTGTTATTTGCAGGACAACATATATTAAAAATAAGTGTGATATTGGTTCAACAAATAAGGCCACCTTATTACCTTTGAGTACGTCAAATATTTCTGATATCAATTAATAAATACATTTCTTGATTTAATTCAAATGAAAGAATCCTAAGTTTTTTTTAACTCACTCATATTTATCGTACTCTGAAACGACATCCGAGGAGCATTACTTTGGCTTGGCTAAGAAAGCTGAAGAAGTATCATCAAAGTCCTCGAAAGGAATATAAAAAAAAGAATAACCACCTTTGTTTAATTTATCTAGTAGGCGAATATTTAGTGTACTTTTAAACTTGAATAAAATCGTATGACATCTTGGGTAATCAAAGCATTTGTATAAATCAAATAATGATTGTATTTTTGATATTTGTAAACTAATATGTTGATTATAGATCTATTTATACTGTATTAGTAACATATCAAATATTTGTTTTGATTGATTGTATCTTTTCTTTGTAAGATATAAATAAAGTATTTGTATCCCTTTTTGTAAGACAATCTGTTTTTTTATCATGTTATCCGTTAACATCTATTGATAAACATCTTTTATGGCACATTTAGGTTTGAGGCGCGCTATAATAAATTGAGGACCAGTGTCTGATATGTGTTGACTTTTTGAAACAGTTGGTTTTGTAACATCATGTCTTTTATAGTTTTGTTCGTTTTAAAATAAAAAGATACTAATGTATCTAAAAAGAGAAATGATTTTATCAGATTCAAAGCAGCACGCATACAATATATACAAATTGTTTTAGTTAGATCAAACACAAAACGTATGAAGAAATAATACATCCAAGCTCGTATATCAGCTAAATATATGGTCATTATAGGCAAAGTAAGCTATAGCAACATGGTTGAAATGTGTGAGTATATTTAACATATAACATGGAAACTGTTGTAAGGTTTGTAGATATCTAAACATTATTCAAACTCTTAATGAAGTTTTATATCATTTGATTTTAGGTTTTTGTTGCGATCATCTGCAGTGGTACAAATTTTATTGTCAATGTAAAGTTGATCAATAAAAATCGTTCATTAAACCTATTCTGTCTTTGGTACAAAATATGATAATCATTTATATAGCAGATGTCATACATCAGAAACACACATTTGTTTTAATGGTTCCTTTGTCAAGATATTTTGATCATCGATATGTAATGCAATAGTTGTTTATGTTTTTAATACCACAGTCATATAAAGATTTATTTAAAAAACACAATGATTTAGCAATATCAACTTTATAGCCCCCTCTCTTCAAAACAGAACAAAATATGCTCATTGGAGGCTTCTAAAGAAATATAACAAAGATTAAGGATTATAATCTATTGTGATGGATTTAATAGCCTCGTTATTTTAGATGTGTATGCGTCAGGACATTGTTGTCATAACCAGTGATTTGTATTATTTTAATCTCTAAAGCAAAGTCGGAATATTTGAAGGTATTTGATAAACGACTGCGGATTGTATAGTTTATTTAATTCTTAATACTTAAATCATTTTATTAAGGGAAGTTATCGGGTTTCAGTGTCAGAATAAACAAAACTACCATTTAGATATACAAATCGTTCAATTAATTTGACAAATTGCTTTATAATTGCTCAAGAGATATGAGTTTTATTTCAATATAAATGCGGTATATAGGTAAACAATGAACATTTCTATATCAATATGATTTAAATTAATGAAGTATCGATTGCAGCTACAGGCGAAAATCAATAAAAAAGATCAAAAGCTTCTTTACATTTGTAAAGCTTCACTGATTTTTGCGAATAATTATAATAAGCCGGTTTGGCACTCTGATTCTATTTGTTTTTGAAGAGCATTATTTTCTTCAATAAGTACGGAAAGTAACGATTTATAACGGAATAGTATTACGTACTTAAGGAAGATTGGATATATTAATTCGTCAGCAGTATGTATTATATAGTTTATATTGTACCTTATTATGAAGAGTTGTCTTTACAGCACTCTTTAAGTAGACTAAAGACTTGCTCAAGATTTGCAACAATGATATATATGTTACTTTTTAACTATTTTATATGATTAAATGAATATTGAAGCTACTGGCGACTAAAAACGCTCCTTAGTTTATGCGTGGATTATTCATGTTGTTTTATGTTTTGGCAGGTTTGAAAATATGCTAATATCGAAAACAAAATGTATGACTAGTCTAACAATAAAATAGTTGTTCATGCATTCAGTAAAAAATCTGACATTTATTCATATTTTTTTGTTTTGTAGAGGAATATAATTCGCAAATAAGGATGTCAGATGACGCGCATGCGCATACAACCATTGATGATATAGAAGAACATTATGAAGAAAAAGATGACTCTAGGCCATTTTTTCAAAGACAAAAATGTAAGCAAACATCAAAGAAAACGGGAGGCTTTAGTTATTCTAAATGAAGATAATGAAAGTCATATGTCATGAACATAAGTGTAATGAATACAGATACCCTTTGAAATGTCGTTAATTTAAAATAATAAGTGTTATTAAAAATAACCCTGGGAATACAGAAATGTCGTTAACTTATAATGAAAAGTGTTATTTAAACAGATACCATAGGCTACTAATCTTCAGCATATCTTTAAACTATAACGCAAAACATATTCATGTATGTTTGAATTATGTATGAAATATAGAGAAACTTTATGTCCAAATCTAAAAGTTTAGCCATTTACAAAGAATTTCTACTTTTTTATTAACAAAAATGACCATTCCGTATCATACCTATTTTTTTATCATACTACAATGTATATGTTTTTTATATGACCAAAGTAAAGGTAAACTATATCATGTACGGAAGGGCACATTAGGTCTTCCTCCACCAGTAAAGCTGGACATATACTGTGTTCTGTTGCGGCGTAAAACCCAATCCAAACAAACAAACAAACTGTATCCTGCTAACAAATTCATAATCATGTCCAACGATTTCTACAAATGAAAGTGAATGTCTTAAAATTGTACAATTTTATAGATGTCACATCATCTTTGCTGCGATTAAGTTATATTATTTGTATGCATTTTCAGATGAGGTGGGTATTTACATCACCGTGTATGACGCTGTCCCTGTTGAAGAAAAGAGCCATGGACTTGAGCATTTCTTCAGAATGAAAACCACAGAAATATTGTACGATGAATTTGCTAAAATGGATCTAGTTGACATTCGCACAGAATTTGAGAAACGCCACTCCCTTCCTAAAATGTATATAGAACGATTCGAACCAGGTTAGGGAACAATTCTGTTTTATTTATTTATTTAACCTTATACAAAAAAAAATAGAAATTTGCATGATAATTTAAATACATCACCCTAAAGTAGTTACCACAGTACGTGTAGGAATACTAGCTTTTCTATGGAAGATATTTTGAAACGGATTTGGCATTTATTTATATGATTCACTTATGATTAGGTCCAACCGCTTCGCTCAACAGTGAGATAATTTGATTTGTACTCCAAATCCCGTTAGTTCGATCCTCAGGAGAGAAAAATAATTTATTGACAATCTGGGACTTTGAGTGTAATGTTCATTTGTTACCTGATATAACTAAGTAGAAAAAATGTGTTGGAATTAACGTAAAATCAAACACACAAACTTATGATAAGCTTCTGGCTTATGATTTTTATGAGCACTAAAATCTTTATTAAAGATCGATTATTTTTGATAAGAAATGTTTTCTATGTTGATTATCTGATAATCGTGTTTTAATTTAATGTTTTATATGGATAAGTTTGACAGACACATTGATTTCCTAATGATTCAATTGTTAAATTAAGAAATTTGTAGGACAGAGGGATGTTGAAATACACGCTCCATGCCTTGTTACTAGTGTTTACCCATTTGTTGTGATCATTTAGTCCTAAGAATATAATTACTTACTGGTAGAGTAACATATATAACATAATAACATCTAAACATACTTTAATTAGAACAATGTTTGGTTTTTCGTGTTGATTTAATTTTTTTTTAAAGATGGCAAAGATAACAAATTGCCTCCTGTTTTAAAACGCATACTATAGTCTATAGTTTGATGTAAAACATTTGTCCATTTTAACGTCTTTATTGTCACATTTAGTCCTGCCTAGCACATAGCGGTGTATGACAATGTTTCTGATATCATATCTTTTTCACATTCTTTATTGGATTAAATATTTTAGGAATCGTTATGGCTGTTGGATTCGACACTATCGAAGCGCTTGACGAACTTTGGACGATGTACAAAGAAGAAAAACTAAATGCTTTGATAGAAAGTATCTTGATAACAGCCGGTGATTTGAAAGCAGCGTCCTTAAAAGATGTTACCTTGAAAACAAAACTTTGGGAAGATGAGTATGACGTTTGTAGACAAGAGCTGGAACCTGATATGAAACAAAGACTGGATATTCAATTCAGGCGTAAAGTCTCAGTTTATCTATTCAAAATATTTGTTTTATAAATTGTTTTAGTATTTCCTTCGCTTTTGGCTATAAACAAAACTCATGGACAAATGCCCATAAATATTTTCACGATGCCTGGAAAAATACATTATTTCATGCTATACTATACTTGTATTATTTTCATTTATTGGATTGGTACAATATTTATCAATAACAATTTTACTTTAATTGTTTTTAAAAGGTAAATAATAGTACTTGCATTTAGGTGGATAAATAATAGAGAGATTTAAATGATACAAATGTTGACTAGGAAATTTTAAGATCATCGGATGCAAAGATTTTGTTTTATATTTTCTTTACTATTCTTTTTTAGCAAATGACACGAAGATGGTTAAACGACTCAAAGCTTATCAAAAAGTTATTGCCGAAGATATACTGCGCATGCGCGACCTTGATAACGAAATCGAATTAAACAGGAACGAGTTCATGAACTGTATTCGTAACCTGCTTCCCGAAGATGTTGGTCATATTCCAACTCTTAAAGATTATGAAATACTTGTTCATTCACCGAAAGCAGAACACATGTTCCACAAAAAATTGCTAGATCTATATTCCAGTATAATTCAAAAATGGCGCCAATATTACGAAACGTATGGGAAAGAAATTGTCATGCCGTTGAAGCAGCTTCATGCAGTTTGTGAAAACCAGAAACAAAAAGACATCAAAACAAAGATCATTCACAGCATACAAGAAATGCAGGCTATGTTATGTGATGATTATGATTTGAGATTAGTCACTCATGCAGAGACAGAGAAAAAGATGGCTCGGCGAGAATATCCGGTATTCCGTGGTCTTCTTAGTCTCATACCCATTGGTGCAGAACGTATTTCAGACATAGACATACAACTAGATGAATATATGAGAGAGTTTAAAGTGTGATTGAAACTTAAATTGACACAAAATATTGACCTTTCTTTATAACCTACGTCAACATAATTATCGGCTCTTAATAAAAACCACAGGTAGTTTTGATAATTAGTTAGATATATATTTTTACTGCAAACAAATAAGTGAACCCAAATTACTCTTATGTAATAATAATTAATTTTGAAGCATTATGCCTGACAATGGAAAACAATGGATTTCCATTGATGACTGGGACGAAAGTATTGAAGAATAATTTGCTATATAGTGTTCTGCTCTCCATGTCATTGAATCTTTTTATTTGTGTGTGCGTACGTGCATATGTGTGTGTTTCTTAAGATCTTCAATTACATACTAATCAAAAGACGATCTGCATGTTTTACTTATATTAAGATTGAGAATCTAAATTTTCTAAATTAACTTTACAAAGCCAGAATTACAATTCCAACAAGCGGTCGAAAAAAGTACCAATTTCACTATGTCACATTTATATATATAGCGAGAGTAAATATATGGCTAACGTGCAAAACATTCCCTGACTAATTTTGTAACTGTCGACATGCTTTAAGTTATGCCTGTTTATTTATATTTGAGGAATTAATTGCGCACCGTTTCTTTGGATAAGTGTTTGATAACGATGTTAGTTTTTAAATAGGCTAAATGTTTCTTAATTGTTTGTACATTTGTACTACGTTTTGAGTTCGCAGCATTGGATTGTCTTTTATTTCTAAGAAAGTATTCTTTTTAACAATCATCTTTCATAAAAACTGTGCAAGCACGTTAACGTTTACGGAGAATGAAAACATGCTGATAAGCTTATAGCAACGATGGAACTGGTAGTTTCATTGTCAAATCACATCGCATTATCAAGTGAAAAAAAAAGAAACCTTTGTCTTAATGCGAAAAACAAATAACGGAGGGCAGAATTATCTAATCAAACGTATATTTTTATGCAATTAATCTTTTTGTACATTGCCATCGGACATGTTAAATCACTCGACCTATGGATTTGAGGTTTAGAAGTGCACATGCACGAGAAATAAACCTCTAATAAACCTCTAAATTGATTTCCAAAGTATGATTATTTTTCACCTTGTACGGTGTATGATAATTAAAAAGTGATTTAAAAACATGTGAGCATTCTTTAAAAAGATATCATTTAGTGTGTTTCATTCCATTTCTATATCCACACTGAAAATACTGATTTGAGGTATTAACTCCTACTAGGCTAGAACGTTATTCACTATTTAAAGGATGGTGTTTTAACAGTGCAAAATAATAATAAGATTATTTATAACCTGTTCGAAATAAAAGGGAACTAATTAACTGTGTCACTTAGAAGCAAAATTCAGAATATTAATGATTCCGTGTGAAAAAAAACATGACTCAGTATTTGAGACGTCCTGCCAGTAATGGAAACTACATACTAAAAGATTTCTGTCCTATTATAGATTATCTTAAAGATTATCAGTAATGGAAATTATATATTAAAAGATTTCTGTCCTATTATAGATTATCGCAACATCAGAATTACGAAATTTTTATAATTGCATTCCAGTGGCATTTTTAAATTGATTTTAATAACCGGACATTTTTAAAATCATGGTTTTAAAGTACGCCTTATTTCCTCTGGATATTCAAGAAATATCTATGTTACAATATCCGCTGGTTTTAATTACATTAAAAGCTACCTCTTCAGACATTGTGTGTGTATGTGTGTGTTTGTTTGTGTGTTTTTGTTGTTGTTTTGGTTAATCATTGCAGCGTAGCAAGGTGTGCCAATAATTATTTAAATATTGTTTGTGCTATGCTGGTATTGTACAAAGTTGACTTCTTAATTCATTTTTGTACTACATTCTATAATACCCTTCGAGTTCTAGTTTCTTCTGTCGTCCGTTTCCATATTAGAATCATTCAATATAATAGCTTAATCTTCTCAGCAAACAGTGTTTATCTAACTCAGATTTTAACACATTATCATTCTTGCACATGACTATATCACAAGAAAGTATATTCCAAGGTCTATATGCAAGGGAAATTTTCATTTCGGTGAACTGTTGTTTCTTTAAGCAAGCCTTTATGAACGGTTGTCAATATTTATTTATTCTTCAATGTAAATGTGTAATGAATAATGTGTATGTTTCCATTGTAACAATATTTATATACAGTTTCAAAAATGTTTGTGTCTGATTCACATCAACAAAATTCGTTTGTTCACTTTCTTCAATATGAAAATGGTCAAAGTTCAAAGTAGATTTAAATTTAATGCCTAGCTAATTTTCCTTCTCAATTATTTCAATGCCCACATCAATGTCATGTCATGTTATCCCTCGCCGAAGAGGTAGCGGGCATATGAAAAAAAAATTCCTTCCGTCCATCCATCCAACATATTTGAACTATCATATTACTTGAGCAAATTTAAAGTCGTGATCGCAAACATTTATGCATGGCTCTAAGTAAGGTTAGTTCAACAAAATGTTCTTCGAGTTGATGTATTGTCAATATCTTCCCTCTACGACGTAAAAGTGATTTTTCGACTCAGAACGTTTGTCAATTCAAAATTTTAATTGGAAGAGTATTTCCGACCGAAATACCGAACAACACTTAGAGTTCGGAGAAACGTATGTCACGTGAATATGTATACTAAAAACACTTCTGAAAAACATTTACAAATGACAAAACGTCATTGGCGGTTATATAAAAATGTTTCATTAATATTCAAAAATAGATGAAAATTATAAACTTATATAAAAATGTGGAATGATCAAGTATTTTGTAAAAGTTTAGAGAATATTCTTCACAGCAATATAAGGACCAAGCTCTGGCTAACGCAAGGAAAATGATAGCACGTAAAATGTTCGTTTTTGGACCGGCGATTTATTCTTCCTGTATATATTAATTGATAAAACACCATACACAAAAACGAATCTGCGAGGAAATCAGACAAATGGTGTTTTAACATTTGGCTCTAGAATATGGTGTTTTCTACGAAAATGTATACACTTTATATAGAGAAAGAACAAATCGCCATTCTATAAAACGACCAAACCATGCAGAACTGTCTCGGACATATTGCTATGGTTTTGGTTCTCATATTGTGCAAAGACGACCCTCCAAAGTTGTATAAAATCGAATCGGCAACGAAATCAGTCAAATGGTGTTTAAACGTTTGGCTATTTATGAAATTAATATTGTTTAGGTTAGAGTTTGGTTCTCATATTGTGCAAAGAAGACCCTCCAACGTTGAACTTTAACAAAACCGCAACGGAATAAGACAATTGGTGTTTAATATATCATTTGAAAACCATTATATAAAGTCCATGATTAATGTCCTTGTCAATATTCTATCTTCATTACAGCGCCTTTTGTATGCCTTTCCTATTGAACATCTTGTGTGAGAAGTTGCCTATAAACGATGTGTGTACTTGAGACCACGAGCAGCATTGCAAAAGACCCGTCATTATGTGTATCATTGCTTAACTGGGAATACCAATTAATAATGACCTATTAATCTAAGTGCGGATGAATTTTAGTACTTTTGCTATCTTTTGCAACAATAATATATACTACTCAAAATTTGCTAAGGATCACTTTTTTCTACAGTGCGTTACTTTTGTGTATTAATAAAAAATGTGAAAATTGATTAAAAGGAAATAAATATAATTAGTTAAGAATTGATTTTTATAAAAATAATGATAATGGAATTATGGAAGTGTTCCTTGACGTGTGCTTGTTGCGTTAAGAGTGTGCTGGACGAACATCAACATATTTTGGAGATCACATAGTGGAATAAAAAAATCTTTCAACTCAGGAAATGGTTGGCGTAGGGAGTTTAATACCGAGTATGGTGTCCGCGGGCATTAAGTACGGCTAGGCACTGTCTACGCATGCTGCTGATGAGCCTGCGGACCTTGTGATGAGGAATTTGGGCCTATTCCTCTATGATTGCATGTCTTAGTTCCTGAACTGTTGTTGGTTGCACATGGCGTAAAGAAATAGCTTTCTGCAGCATATCCCAAGGATGCTCATTGGATTTGAATTCGGGGACCTCGCTGACCAATTAAGGCGGACTATATGTTGCCTCCTCAATATATCGGTTTGTGTTTTGGGATCTGTGTGCACGGGCAATATCATCCATAAGAATGAAATCAGGGCAGACTGCGCCAACGTACGTGCATACATTGACGTCTAAGATACCACTGACGTACCTTACTGCCGCCAGTGTACCGTTTTCAATGATGTATATGTCCGTTTTCCCCTAAGCGCTTATTCCCGCCCACACCATGACTGAATCCCGCCAAAACGGTCGTGTTCTGCAACGCATACTAGAGCTAAGCGTTCATTTGGACTTCTCCAAACCCTAGCCCGTCTGTCCGTGAAGTCCGCACAAACCCTTGACTCATCAGTGAAGAGGACCGTGTCCAATCATTAAATAACTGTCCATGTGACATGAGTCTGTGCCCATTGCAAACGCTCTTGAATATTGCGTTGTGACAAAGAAATGCAAATTGCTGTCCGCAGTGAGCTCAACTCAGCATAATGCAACCTGTTTCTAACATTTTGTGTGCTTACACGCACACCAGCTGCATTTTGGAAGTCGTTACGTCAGGTTGTTGCGTTCGAAAACCGTTGGCGCCTGGCCTGAAGAACACTTATTCGGTCCTGGGCTTGAGTCGTTGAACGTTCCCGACCTCCGGCATGGCCCTGCAAGAAATTTCCAGTCTTTTGGAATCGGTTCCACACCCTGGAGACAACGCTCTGGGATACCTCAAGGACATGGGCAACATGCCTTTGTGAATGGCCAGTCTCCGACATTCCAATACCCCTGTTCATCTCATCTTCACTAAGATGTGATCTAACCTGTCGATTTGCCATAGTTTGTTAATTTCGAAAACAGTTATACAATAAAACGAGAGAAGTCTTGCTGCTTGTACACGTTAAAGTGAAAGCAAATGGCCATAAAACACCAAATTTCCATGTGTATGCTTTTCCACGTGCTCTTTATATTTAACAAGAGGACCATGGTGACACTGGATCGCTCACCTTACATTCGTGCTAGAAAAGGATAAATCCAGAGATGAAGTCGCATTAAGTTTGTCAATATTGATATAGGCTGCATACTTTCTAAAACATTTGTAGATGTCTGCTACGAAATGCTTCATGACAAATATATTATTTCTCGGTAAGATGATTCCACACAAGGTGACTTTATTGATTAATTGTTTTACAATGAAAGTGTCTATAAACTAAGTGACCCCAAAGGCTGACCAGTTTTGCCCCCAGTGGCAAAATTTATATAACATTGGTAGGGAACCCAAAGGTCGTGCGTCATGCAAAATATTTAACCTCTGGTCATTGTTCTTTCATTGTATTTTCAGAGAAGAAGATTTTAAGGTAAGACCCACCTAAAAATTACCTCCACTTTGAAGAGTATTCATATAGGCTAGAACTACTTCAACTGCATTGCAACTGAGGGGCGCGGGTTCAAGCTTCAGAAGTCGCAACGTTTTTCTCTTTCTTTTTTTTCTTCTGTCTTCTTTTATTTGAGTCTCTCAGACCATTCTTGTGAAGGAAAAAGTGTGTTCACTTTAATTATAAAATCATTATTGGTGTTTATTGGCTAAATTGTGCCAAATGTGTTATCAAATATGCTACCTGATATTTTCAATGTCTAATAAAATAAAAACTAGACGGTAAAAGTATTTTATATTTGACAAGCGCAACCAATATACTTTTAAGAAAATTTATGCAAACTTTGAAAACATTTTTTCATTATGATTATTTTATAGAATATTTAGAGTTTCTCATTTCTGAAAAAGAGCCCTTCTAATAACCAAGTTTTACTTAAGAAAAATCTCAATAACTCGTAAACCATTCTGTACTGTAAACTTTGTTTAAATTTTGCGTTCTTGTGTCTTTTAAGGTATTACTGACCAATGTTAT